CTCTTGTGATTGAAAAGAACATGAGTTCAACACAGCTGCTTTTAACCTGTCAACCTGAACCGCAGACACCTTTTTATATATATATATAAAAGCCTTGACATTTTACTTACGGCTGCGTTTATAATTTCATATCTGTATGGCCGATCATGTATAGAAGTAGTCCTATATGTAGCAGTTGTCATTAAAGGAAATGGCTTAAGTTGAGCAGGATACAGGCAGCTGCATGTTGACACACAAATTCGTATAACCACTCTGACTCACTTCATGTAAATGTCTCAATTACAGCAAATGCTTATTATTCACACACACACAAACACACACACACACACACACACACACACACACACACACACACACACACACACACACACACACAAGGCTGTCATGGTCAAGGATTTTTTTTCTTTATAATTTATACGTTGCAGCACTTGAATACCAAAAAGGTTTATCATATACCTTCTTATTTCTCAGCTATAGAATCATACCACTTTATTTTCAAGATAAAGTGGACACCACTGAGATTCAAGTATCAGTTTCAGGATCATTTTGAATTGCCACTATAAAACCTGTCCTCTCCTCCTGTCTAATGAAAGTCTCTCTCAGTCATTAATCAAGCTGTAATTATTGAGGTGAGGGCTAATGACCAGAGAAGGACAGGTCCTTTGCTTTCAAAAGACTTCATCATAATCTGATGCAGTATTTAGTCTGATTTGAAGCAAATCATCTACAATAAGTCAATTAGTAATTAGGTAAGTTACTGAAAGTACAGATTTATTGCTTTATTGCAGTGGTTCAACATGGCGGACTCCGTGGTTGGCGTGTGTAGATAAAAACGCCTCATCCTAAGGCAACAAAAATGCAACAAGTCTTATTTTCAGGTGATTATACACTAAAGAAAACATACCTATGAATATAATATTTCCATTTCTGTCAATAGATTATCCTAAATGTTACACACTGCACCTTTAAGTATATTTTGCATTTTCAACTCTTACATTACAGTGTTGCGACATTTACTTAAGGATTTGTTCTAAATCATCTGGTAGCCTGGAGGGGCTTCAGATAAATAGCATGAGTTCTCGGTGTTTTGGTAGAGTGCTTCTTGAACACTGACAGGTGGCAGCATTGCGGAAGGACATGGATCTGGCAAATGGGATGCATAAGACTCAGGTGTTCAATGCAGTCTTGCTTTGTGTCTCATTCCTCTTATTTAGCTCATTTGTCAACACTCTCTTGGCTGCTTTGATCACAATCACATGTCACAGAGCTCCCCAGGATTTTCCTACTCTTACTGTGTTGATTGGAGGTGCTGAGTGAAGCATCGTCTTCAGGTACACTGTTAAGATTAAACCCCAGCTGTTGTGACGACTTCATTCGGCAGTGAATCACTGGATTCAGGTTGGAGGAAAATTAGCAGGTGCTGCACATTTCCACAGCCTGAGTAATAATGTGAAAGCAGATTGGCCGCATTCAAAATGCTATGCAAATGTTCTCCGCTGTCAATATGTTCTAATTAACAAACTGCCGAAAGGCGAGGCTAGGAGAAAAGTGATTATGAAGACGAATGATGAGGCAACACAACTTAACTTGGTTTCTTTTTCTCGGCTGGAACCACATTTCCAATAAAAATGCAGCCACACACAGAATCATCAACAGCCTTTCTACTGCTGCTGAATTGAAATATGTCTGGGAACATTAAGTGTGCTTCATTCAGATTTCATTGATTGTTTTCACTGTTTTTGCTTCTTTGCTACAGCGGGTCATAACCGGATGTATTTCTCCTCTGTATTAAAGCATCCTGGTTTTCTAACTTGTGAGAAAATCAGATTTTTAACAAAAAATTTCCATTGCGGGCTATGTGCAAATGTGTGAAGGTAACCTCCGACACTCACAATTACTCAGATGAAACATCAACAGAGGGGCAAAAATTTGAGGTCAAATACAATCAGTCTAGATAGAAACGGGAACAGGATTTAATCACATCCTTGTTTTAATATGTACAAGACTATGTGTGTGAAACAGATTAGTTCAAATCTTTGACAAATGGTTGCACTGGTCGCACACCAACCCCTGGGACGTAAATGATGAATTTGTCTTATTTAAGTCACTTAAAGTGCTGCTTTGCTTTGACCTCTGCTACGCTCATGAAGGTGAATTAAATCACAAGAGTTCTTATGAATTCATAAGCTGTGGGACAGAAGAGGGAGGAAATACATGAACAGGAGTGCCCTTTTAGCCCTGCCAGCAGCCTGGCTCTGTGGATGGCAATGCCGGACTGTTGTTTCATCCGCCACTTTGGTCCAATCTCCAAAACCTCAACAACTATTGGATGGATTTTCATGAAATCTTGTACAGACATTAATGTTTCCCAGAGGATGAATCTTACTGGTTTTGGTTTTCTTCGAACATCACCATAAGCTTAACAAGTAGTTTATAGTCTTGATAACTACTGGATGAATTTCCATGAAATTTGCTGCAGATATTATTGTCCCTCTCTGGATTAACTGCAATAACTTTGATAATCTCTGACTTTTCATCCAGCAACATTATCAGATAAGAATTTCCATTTTGAAGCCCTGATGTCACTTTGTGGATACTTAGCTCAACTAGTTTATGTAAATTAGTGCATCTCTCATTGTGAACAAAAAATAAACTGTTGTTCCCGAGGTTCATGATGAATCAGCATTCACTACAGCACTTGCTATTAGAAGGTGAAAACTGCTTGATTTTAATTCATTTTGTATTAGCATATCAAAAACTACAACTCCCATGAAAATATACCAGCACTGAATCTTCACGTTCTTGAGTCATTCTAACCAATTGGTTTCATCCATATCCATGACATTCACCAATGCTCTCTTCTAAAGTAATTCTTTTCGACTTTTAAGCTTTAGCTGTTCTTTGTGTTCGGTGCTTATAAGCGGATGTTAGCATGCTAACACAATAAATGAGGATGGTGAACATTGTGAATCACCAGCTCACCATCAGCATGCATGTAGACTAGCATGGCTGTAGACTCTTTAGTCTTGTTTCTTTTTTTAGGACCACATTTTCCTAAACAGAATATTCAGAATATGTTTTATGTGATTATGAATATTATGTGCCTGTATGAAAATAATTATCTTTAATGGACTCCCTAGATTTGTTTACTGAACAATGAAGTCAGCTTTGTGTTGCCCTGTTAGCTCGACTCTTGCCGGCAGATGCAAATGACTCCCCCTTGTTCGAGATCAGCTAATTATGGTTATGAGTCACCATCACTGACCACGTTCCTATTCTGTACTCTTGCACCTTCCTGTCATATGTTAAAATTGGGACAAGATGATTAGTATGTTATCATCCTGACCTCAAATTTCCTCCCATCCCGTGTATTTTTGCATCCTGACACTATTATTCAAAATCTGACTGATTGAGGTTTGGCATTTGGAAACAACAACTCAACAGGATACCTTTAAACCTGTGGCCTTCTGCACTATATGTGGTATTGTCTCCACACGCTGCCAGCTGCACTCTGTATACTCTCACTACCACTGCCAGTAGAGGTCAATACAGACGTGATCTTTTCCTTGTTCCAGTGGTCCCTCGTCCCCCATGGAGCTGTCGAGCTCGCCTTTTCTCTCAAGGTTAATTTCATTTGAACTACACCCGCTCTTGTACTGGCTCTTTGCTTGTCTGTTTTAAGGTCCTGTCTTTATTGATTGTTGTGAAATGAAATTATGCCTCACTGTAAAGTGGAGCTGAGCCCTGTTGGACACAGTTAATGATCCTCTTATAGCAGTTCATATTCCCAACCTCAGCTCTTCTCTCCCTTGTTATGCGTTCAATCTACCAACTTGTAATTAGTTCGAGCTAATGTGTTTTATCTTGTTGAAAACAGCAGACAGTTTCCACCTGCACAGACGGACATCATTTTACAATTAAATTATGCGTTTTAAGTTGTTCAAAAGCCCTTTATGCTCAAGGATAAGAATGTAAATAGGTGCATAATACACATTATATACAGACACAAACACAAACACAAACACCTAATCTATTTTTGTCTTTTAGCCATGCATGGCTCTTGGGTTGGCAATGTCATTCAGTCCATTAATTTGACCTAAACTGAAATATCTTAACAACTGTTGGATGGATTGCCATAGAATTTGGCACACATGTCCATGGTTGCAAGGAAATTTGGTAGACACATTCATGTCTCCCTCTGGGTGAATTGTAATGTAATCAAGGTTTGTAATTTGCATTAATTGTTGCTCGTTTAGCATACTAAAATACGGTTCAGATGGCGAACATGGTAAATATTATACCAGCTGTGTGTTAGCATTATCATTATGAGCATGTTAGTATGCTGGTATTATCTGAAAGTACTGCTGTATCTAAGTACAGCCTCACAGAGCTGCTAGCAGGCAGTGGACTTGTTTCCCTCTGATTTATAACAGCATGAGGATGCTTCATTCACTGTTCACTACTATAAACTGCTCTAGTATACTTAGATTTTAGCTTAATTTAAATTGATTCAATCCCAAATCCTAGTTTTAAGGAAATCGCTTGAGATTTGGGGGAATTATGCTTATTCTCTTCTTGCCAAGAGTTAGCTGGGAAGAGTTTCACTTTAGTTTTTGTACAGCTTAAACTAAGAAGATATAACGTGTTAAGTAGTGAACTTTAGAGTTGCTGTTGGGTGTATTTTGTAATCTTTGGACTAAACCAGGCTGTCCCTATGCTAAACTAAGATAATCTAACTGGCTGTTTGCGGTGGCTTCACAGTCAGGAGAGTTGTATCTTCCCTCAGCAAGAAAGCAAAAAAGCATATTTAAATGTAATCTTAACTGCAGCATAAACACATTTCCAGACATTATGTTCTCACTTTTGAAGAACATGTTCCTTTCTTCCTTCTCAAAATGACATAGGTCCATGTCAAATACAGGAACACACGGGCCAGCAAAGTGACTTCATTGAGCAAGAGCCATAAAAGCCATTTATTACCCTTTACAACATGCTAACAGCATCGAGATACACGGTCAAGAAGATCTCTACCTCGACAGAAGTTCTTCCTAACAACAAAATGCTTTACTTGGTGGTGAAGAGAAGGCGATCAAGTTAAAGGACAAACAATAACCAGGCTGATGACGTTGCTGCTGGACTCGGTGTGGCTGCTGTTGGCCTTCTCTCTGGTGTTTCCCCCTGTGTCTGTCGGAGCCTGTTCAACTCAGGAGTTTAGCTGCTCTCAGGAGTTATGTGTGCCTAAGGACTGCGTGTGTGACTTCACCGACAACTGTGGAGATGGCAGCGACGAGGAAGACTGTGAGTAAAGCAGTATATTAATTTGAATTATATTAAGAGACTGTGAAACAGAGTAGGTTAGAGAAAGGTACAGATATCGCACAATGCTGCTCACTGTTTGTGTGAATAAGCAAGTGAAAGCAGCATTATCAGAGGCATGGAGAGTGAACTACTTCTTTATAGCAGAGGTATAGGAGGTGTGCAGGGTTTCTGTGTTATCTGTGATGTACTATTATGGCAGTTCACTGAAGACCATTGAGCCCATTCCCAGCTGAAATGAGACATTTTATTCTTCTTCTAATCAGTTTGTTATTAACAGCTTTTCTTCCTTGAGGTCATTTAGTTTTCATTTCCCTCTTACAATAGCAGGAGCACTGTTGAAATGGCCTAATTAATACAGTATTTTAAGTTCCTGTTTAGTCATTCAAAGTACATGATACATTATTTAAACACGGCTTGCTTTCATGAAAATAATCTAAATAAATTTGTTTTACACTTCAGATTCAGGTCACAGATTGATCAAATTATGTACTAAAAGTATCAAATACACAATAATACAGTTATAGTTATAGTTTATAGTTATAGTTACTAAAAGATGACCTTAAAGTTCTTAGGAACTTTTTCTTACCTTGGGAGGTAGCAGGTTTTACATTTCTTTACAGATAAAAACATGCCATATTGTGTACTTTAAACAAATGTCTCTCTAGTGAGCCCTACAGCAACACAAACCTTTTAAAACTGTGATTTTTTTTTCATACTGCTTTTGAAGTGTACAAATGCAATATGGGCAGACTATGTGTATTTGTACTTTGTTTGTTTCTGTTTTCTTTGTTTTTTGAGGCTATAATTAATAGTTTTGTAGTTCAAGGATTCAAGAAATCAAAGGTTTTATTGTCACATAAACAAACAGTTTATATATAGTGTAGCAAAATGCAGGGTTGCTACTCCTAAGGCTATAAATTATAAGTAAATAACTAAATACAGACAAACTGTACAATAAAATGTTGTACACACAGTGCAACTAAGCAGATATGGTTCAGAGAGGACAACGTGCTACACATGACAAAACATATACTTTTTTATTATCCAAAAAAGAAATTAAATAGAATCCATTATGAATCATGATAAACATATTTGTAATTGGCTGCATTATAACAAAAATGAATGGAAGTTAAACAGTGTTATTTATAATGGCAGCCAAAAAGGGCAAATAAATTAAAACACAAGAGGTTCCTGTGAAGATATTCAACTCTTCATCATTGTTGATCCTGTGTGGCATACCTAAATATCAGTTTTATCATTAATGCTTTATAGAGTCCCCTGTTGCACATTTGGTCCCAAAGCCAAATAAGAGTCCCTGCTTAAAATGAGAAACCACTCAGTTTCTGAGCTCTGCTGAGCTGATGAATCTTTATGATGTGTAGAACCCAAAGCTTAATCCCAATACACAGATTAGTGGTGAAATATATATTCAGGGTGAAACACAAAATAGCACATAAAAGTGTGTTTTTTTGTTGTTGTCATTGTTGTTGAAGGCTCCAGATATAAGAGGTGTGACTTTGAGGAGGGATTCTGTGACCTGATCCAGAGCTCAGAGTCGCTCTCTAATTGGACCAGAACGACTGAGATCCCAGGACTCAAACATGATCACGCCAACAACACATCAGGTCTGACATTTGCGACATAGTATAAATCCATTTGATCTTTATTCATAGTTTTCTGTGCATGAATCCCGACCCCTCTCTCTCTCCTTTAGCACATTTCCTGTCGCTTTTACCTGTCAGAGGAAAAAGAACCACAGCAGAACTGACCAGTCCCGTCTTCCTGCCCAGTCAGACGTGCCAGGTAACAAAATCCTCTGTTTGGCATGCAGAGAAAAACCATCTAACAACGACATAACAACAGATGGTGATATCTTTCTTGGATTTTCATCCAACAGATGAGCTTCTACCATTATGTCGGGGCAAAGCATGGAGGTCTTCAGGTCTGGGTTCAGTCTCATACTCGGACTACAGAGGTGTGGGAAAACTCCACACAACCACAGATGGAAATGTGGCTGCGGACGGTGATTAAGTTTTCCAGCAATGACAGTTTTCAGGTCTGTAACATAAACAATTTACTGTAAAGAGATTTTATTGCTGTTTAATATTGTAAAGTATATAATACATATATCATGGTGTATTATGGTTTAGTGTAATGTTGCATCTTATCTCAAGTCTGGTAAGCAAATTAATTACACTCTGAGGTCTGGTATCTGTTTCACATAACCCACCACTATGTCACATCGACTTTAGTCACTCCAGACTTTTCAGTCTGTCAGTCAGTTTTGTTGAAGGTCAAGTGTTACATTTATTTAACATTTAGAAGGATCTATTGGCAAAATTATAATATTCATATGTATTTTTTCATTGGCTGGATGCCACTAAATCCTACACACTGGACCTTTAATGGCCAATATACATTACCATAAACCCAAAGGACGCTTCATTTCTTTACACTCATATTTCTGATAGTCTACTCCAGAAGGATGATATTTTGTTTAGGAAGCTTTTGTGTTAGCTTGAAATAAGATGTTTTAAAATCAAAACCTAACTATATCAAGGATACACACCCTGAATAGTGCCCCCAAACACCTGTGACCTGGAAGAAAGTGCTGATAGTGTAATATACTGTATTACAGTACACTGATTTCTTTTATACTAATTATACAAGTAGTATAAAGAGTACATACTGTAACCAGCTAGTGTATATAGGCTTTTCTTCACTTGACACTATCATCACTATACTTTAATAAAATAGAAAATCTTAAAGCAGCTTATGGATCTTGTTAGCCATATCTTCAGCAATAGGCAGCGGTTTTGGTAAAAAAAAAAAAAAACCTCTATAAACCAAACTGCACATAGACAGTTAGCAGTCACCTATTGTAGACTAAAGCAGAGCTAAAAGGAAACACAAATCTACATGGATGAATTGTTGCTCCATATTTGCTGATAATGCCAAATAATAACCATATTTTTATCAAAATGTACACTTGATAAAATATATATATTTATACTATACCACTCTTAGACTATTGCCCCAAGCTTCACTTTATTAAATCATACTACATTAACATTTATTGATATTTATATTGCATGTTAAGATATATAATATAAGTTTCCTCGAAAATGATAAAGTCATCACAGCAGAAATGAGCTACACAACAGGAGCCGTTTATGTGCAGTGAGGGGGTACTGACCCAACTGGACCCTTCAGAGGCCATCTGGAGTCCGATGAAGCCTGCTGTTCGTGTCCTTCCTATATCCTCAGACAATGTCAGCGTGTCACCCTTTCCTCTTCTCTGCCATCACCATCTGTCGATGACTGCAGCCAGCTAGGTTTCATAACATGACTGAACCAGCGCCGGGGGTAAAGAGAGGTCAACTCTTTGCCAACAATCACTTTCCCCTCCATTTATCTACTTCCTGTTTTACGGCAGTTGAGTTAATTGGGTTTTTATTTACCACAGTGATTCCGGGTGATTTCAATTTAAATCTGTTTGCTTAATGATCTGCACTTTTTCACCTCTCTCCCTCCAGGTTTTTTACTAATTGTGTTGTAGAGAACTCTTTTCTTTGAACAGCTTTATCAAGATTTGGGCACATAAAATATAATATGCATATGCAAACATTTGACCTTAACTTTCAAACAAAACACAGAAAATCTTATCAATGAGATGACTAAGGAGTATTTTGTAGAGCTGGCTCTACTGAAAATAAGGGACTGTGTATACAAATACCCAGGATTTTCTGAGAGAGAGTCTACTTTTGTCTGGATCAGATAGACACTGTTTAGGCTTTGAAATCCTAAATAAACAGTTACATACACTCATCCCATAGATTGTATTACTTTTATGGCCTCAAAGTCCAGTTTTGGGGGTGAAAAGAAATACCAGCTGCCATGCGTGACCAGTGACAATCGTGTATTGAGTGCATTTTCCCATCACACATGATGACACAATCCAACATTTGTTTAAATCAGTCATAAATGATGGGCTATAAAACTCCACTGGAGTAGATAAAGCTGTTCTGTGGACTTTGATCAGTGCAGTTTTGATATTATTAGTGCTGTGACAATCAGAGGAAATGGGATGTTTTTAGCTAGGTGGCCTCATGGCTCTGGGGAATGCAATGTGTGTCTGTAACTGAACAAACTCAACAACTATGAGATGGATTGACACAACATGTTGCACTAGACATTGATGGTTCCCAGATGACAATGCCAACTGACTTTGGTACTCTGAGGGGGATTTGGTACAAACATTCACATCTTCTTCCGGGTGTATTGTAATAACTTTAGTGATCAGAATTTTATTTGGTACAATGACCAAATATCTGCAAAACTCTCTCTTTTAAATCACTTATTAAAAATCTTTTTCATACTGACGTACAGTTTGAAGGGCAGATCGCATAGACACAGTTTGAGACTGAGGGCTACCCCACTGTTCTGGTTGCAATGAAAAAGTATTTTTTTAACTCAAATTCTATGCAAATGATGGTGTGTTATTTTTGATTAATTTGAATTTGATTTTTTATATGATCAGTATATATTGAACGTAACCCCTGTACACTCTAAAATACACTTATTACATTTATAAAATTCATCTTATGAGACTTTTATAGTTAACTAGCCTAACTCAATTAGTTTAGTAACCAACATGATATGCTCTGTAGTCTTCAAGCTTAATTAAGCTGAACCAACTTAACTTTAAAAAGTTTTGCTGTTTTTAAGTGGTCAAATGATTTATTTTCAGTTATTCTAACCTTTTTTATTTTACTTCCATTCTACTCAAAAATGTCAATGTCAACTGTTAGCTGCATGTATTATTAATCTATTTCACTTGAGTCACAATAAATTACACATTTTTATTTTAACTTAATTGTAAAACCAGTGTATTGTGATCAGATTCTTGCCAATACAAAGATTTAGGGCTGACAGACTTTTGATCCAGTATATTTAAAACACTTGGTCAGACCCTATAACACAGTATGTCATTGCATTTACCCTTTTGGCCATTATAAGCATTTAAACATGCTGGTGTTTGTATTTAGCTCAAACACACACTGCAGTGAATGTGCACACAGGCCAAAATACACAAAAACAAACATATTGTGTCCAAATAAAAATAGGTTTTCTGTGTGTCTACCAGGTGCTGATTCAAGGGCAACTTTCAGCTGACAGCGAGGCCTCCGAGGTCCTGGCCATCGATGACCTATCCTTCAGCCCCGGCTGCGTGACTGTGCCTGGTACTGCTACCATTAATAACATCTCACTACACAGACGGGAATAAGTTCAGACCTTGACATTTTGAAATATCGCCACACATAAACAGACGGTGGCAAACTTGTTTTGAATACTGATAACTGGGGAAGACATTAAAGCACCCAGGATGGGTTTCATGACAGAATAACTGAATCATTAAAATTGTGCTTACGACACATTTCCCTGCAGTGAATATGGAGCACAGTCAGTGCCACAATCTATGGGTTTATTTATGTCTCCTACAGTGTGCTGCCTGCACCTTAGTGATGAATGTGATTCAGCTGAACATCTTGGCTGGGAGCGTCTGATAAAGCACCGTCCACTTGGCGTTTTAGACAGAATTTTTACACGTTGCCATGGTGATATACAGGTATTTCAGCTGCAAGCACAAACTACAGCATCTTTACAACTGCTATTATTCATCCAATATAGGATGATGTTCTGCTCTCTGCCTGTAAAACAAGAGTTGAACCTTCTTTATTGACTCTCTTGTTTGGGCTACAACCTGTGGCCTTCAGCTTTTTTTAGGTCTCTTTCTCCCAATGGAGCATCAAGGCCAGAGTGCAGACAGATCTGCTCTATAGACAGAATTCATGTCACAGGTTTGAGTTTATTGTCAGCGTTCTTTGCCTTAGCACTGAAGTTTTTTAATGATGTGTGGACCTAAATGTTTTAGCCAGTCAGAAACAATTCCTCGTTACACGTTCATTCATTAATGAGCGTGGAAGGTCTGCAAGCAAGTTGTCTTACCTAGATCATTTATTTAGTTTTCTCCTTTGACTCCTGTTGGTTCATGCTAGATATCTTGTCTGTCAATCAGTCTGACTGTACTTGTGGAAAACCAGTGTTTCTTTACCCCCTGAGGTTTCATTGAACCATATAGATTATTTCTTTTTGTAGAATGACCAGATGTATTTCTGTAACTAAAGCGACTTTAATCAATATTTCTATATTAACAATGGATCAAATTACTCTTTCAGGGCAACCATGTGGCTTTTTAGCCCCTCTCGAGTGGCTCCCTATGGCTTTGACAAACAATTATATTAAATTGTCACTTATCATTGCTGTAGGCTTAGAGTGATTATTACATTATTAAATGTCTAGCCATTACACACCTAATCAAAAAGATGTTTTAACATTACAACAACTGAAACATATGTCACATGTTATGTCCTGGCCTGGTGCCTTTCCTCTTTGTTTTGTTGACCCTCAATAGCGGTGGCTATTAGTCTTGAGTCTCCCTAGTTAGGCTAGGTATGGATTCCAAATTCTCAAAAAAGAAAGGTCTCAGAGGGAAATAGAGAATTAAGTAAGTGGACAAATTTATAGACTTTCACCAACAACGATCTGCAGCGCAAAATTATTATTAAAATATGTTTTGTGTGTTCAGAAAGAGTATTTTTGTTGTTTTGGGCCAAAAATGTCTCCTTTGATAGTAAAGGTTGATCAACCCTGGACTATTTGTACATGGTGTCATTCTTAGTGACAAACCTACAGAAAAACTTTGCAGTTCCCTTCAGTCTTTAAGCTCACTGGTTGAGCAAATTTAGTGTTTTGGTTTATTATCGCTGCTCTGATCATCTTCATCATCATAAACATGATAAACTCCATATACACCATCTGCCCAGAACTAAAAGGCAAGACAAAGCTAGCTAGCTGGTGAACATAGCGGAGCATACAGTAGCTAAGGAGCCATATGTTTTCTTCAGGAGATGGTGGAGACCAAAACAGAGCTCAAAGGAGAGTAAATATTGGACTTATATTCATAAAGTAGCCAGAAATATAACTCTAGTAAATACATTTTGTAAATGTTTTGTTCACAGCTTGTTGAGCTGCCCCTAAATTAGCTGAAGAAAATCAAAAATTAATGGAGGTTTAATTTGAGTAAACTGTGTTAAATAACAGCAAAAGAGTCTATTGGACCTTCACCAGACCTAGTTTAGCATGTCTAAGTGCATGAGACAGGTCAGTATCACCTTAGCACCTTGGTCCCCTAGCTTCCATCTGTCTTCTGCTCCCAACAGTGGCTTTATGAAATTTCCCACACCTCAAAGAACAAGGTGGACATTATCATATAAAACACATTAATCCTGACTCAGAGCAATAATGCACAAGGCATAGAGCTACAATCTAACCTCAAGCCAACCTGATCTCCAGCCACTGGAGAAATAACCACTGGGTGTCACATTAAATTACCAATAACACTTTACTACACCAGCAAAGGGTTATTGTGCATGACTCATCTGTATAGCCTGACATCCACATGCGAGGGAAGATAAGGATATTGTTTTGATATGTGGCTCACATCTAATATCGCTATAACTACCTGCCATTACAGTCAGTTACAGAGGATTCTTTATGTGCCATGTTATTCATCCTAATTTGTTGCACTGATTATGGGTTCACAACAGCAATGAATTCAGATTAAGTGCGCTGTCACAAATAATTGAATTATAATAATTAAATACCGGCTTATGATTAAATGCACGTGGGGGGAAAACAAGACAGAAACATGTTATTGTGAATTTCAGCCGAAGTTTAACGCCTCTTTTACACCCTTTTATCATAAATCACACCCGTTGCATATGTGAGTGCCTCCAAGGGTGTTTTGTATCTGTACATGTTTTGGGAATGAGTTGGCCATCATATCATTTATTATCCTTTTATATACCTAGCTGATAGCCCCAGTCATTTTGCCGGGTCAGGTTCTCTCTGGCCTATACTCTTAAGAATCTGATGCCTACTATTATAATTTTAGCAGATATTTAATCTTTCTGATGTCTAATCAGATGGATTCATGTCTGTTTATCTCTTTCAAACTCTTTCAAAGTTTGCTACTACAACCATTTAAAGACTTATTTTCAATAGCCAGCCAAAACCCATTTAATATTTGGACATTTTTTCACTTTTCCAGGACTCCTCCCTCATAAGCAGCCCGAAGTGGAGTTCATTTAAGAGATGGTGTATTGGATGTACTATTGATCAAAATATCTGAACTTCATTCATTACTACACATTTGAATCTAATCTTCTACAACACAGCTAATGTACTTCACTGTCCTTGAATGCAGCTGAGCTCATCTATATTAATCTGCTATGATCTCCTATGACTGTTCTTAAATGATAAAATCAAATGATACGAGTCAGTGATAACGACTGTAACTTTTTGTATTTGGTGCATCTAAAATCTGATTTGAGGCCTCTCTCAGCTGAACACTGTAACTGCATCAAAATGTCGATTATACTAATCTTTATTTTTTTTATTTCTGTGCCAGTGAGCAGTGTGCCCCCTCCTCCTGTTTGCCCTCCCTTGAGGTTTGCCTGCGACACTGGGGAGTGTATCGAGGAGAGCAAAGTGTGTGACTTCACCCCACATTGTCCCCATGGGGAGGACGAAGCCAACTGCCGTAAGAACCTTGTTGCCAAGTAACACTTTCAAATGATCCCCATCCTATTCGTATCGTTGACTGAGAGCAGTTTAGTGATTTATATTTATCTGCCAGTGTGACGACAATGGTTGACAAAGCATTCAAAGACTTCCCCAGTAGTTATTGTCCAGTCTCATTTTATTTGTTATTTTAAAACTTGTTTTGTCAGTGTACACTGATAAATAGATCCCAGCAAGTGAGTTTTTTCAGAATTTGAAAACTTTATTTAAATTTACACATTTTCTTTAAGTGATATCCTCATTACCTTACATACTTTCATTGTTATATATATTTGTCTCAGAATACTACAATACCCATGAGCCTTGGCTTATTGTTGCTGTGGAGAAGAAGCCAGTCAGAGAGCCGCAGTGAATTCAAAATGCTTTGTCATTGAATTTGTGAACAAAACCTAGTGCCATAGTTGCAGAATTAATGCAAAACAGACCCAGAATCCAAAGTGAATCAATTTAAACTGTTATTTCAATAGTGTAATCCACTATTAGCAATGCATGTAACAAGCTCTGTGATTAGATGTTTCTTGCCAAAATTAAACTCATCCTGCAGAAGTCTTAGTGCACAAAGGTAAAAAAAAAAAAAGAAAAAAAAAGTATATTAGATTTTTTTTTAAATTGAGGAACCAAATATTTATCTCTTGTACTGAGGATTTAAACTGGGAGAGTTTACAGCCTTCACACAATCTTCCTCAGCAGATGGAGTTTACCCAGTTGTCATAAAACTGCAGATGTTCAAATTTCCATTATTCTGAGCAGGGACTCTTCATCCATGTTGGTTTAAAAGTTGAGATAAAAATTTATTCCTCAATTTAGACCAGTTGACACAACAATCTCACCACAGGGTCCATATGTAGCTGTTCAGTCGGTGTACCCTAAAGAATTTACTTTGTGCTCAGAAAAAGGGAAATTCAACGGGGAAAACTCCATCTACTGAAGATCTTATAATGTGATCTAAAGCTTCAGCGCAGCTACTAATGGGCCTTGAGGTGAGACTGTTGGAAGTGCTGTTTTTAAGGTCAAGAATGGATTTCCACTCTCAGCTTTGTTAAGAAAATGTCCTATCTCTCTACTCATTCAGCCTCTGAGTGCAACTTTGAGGGCGGTTCTTGTGGCTGGTACGAGCTCACCCTTGGCGATGGCTTCGACTGGGTCAGGGGCTCTTCTGTGGAGGTACCTCCACACTATTATGGCCACCCACCACCTCTGGATCATTCCACAAACAGCACCGAGGGTAAAAAAAAAAAAAACAACACACCACATATTTCAGTAGCTTCCATCCGCAATAATGCAGTTACCTTCGTCGATCAATAGGGTAAGAATAGAAATATGATGATGATTTCACTGCGTACAGGGTGTTTGGTCAGAAATAACTAGAAAAAGATAGTATTATGTACAGATCAAATCAAGGTTTCACAGTTGGAAAGAAAATCTATTCACTGGGTGATTTTGAGAGATAAGCACTTCATGGAGAAATGCCTTCTCAGCCATCTGAATAATAGAAAAGAAATCGACATACGCTGTACCCATTCTGCATATTAACACCACATCATTCACTGAAATACACAATATGCTCACACTGAAACCCCATTAGCCTCTCCTAGGTTTATGCACCATGACATTTTGCTGTACATTACGCCTCATTACATCTTTATTTTCTCCACATCTACCCTCTAGAAAAGATTTACCTCTTATGTATTTATGTATTTAACCAGGAATCTTGTTGTAGATTTACTTAATAACGTCATGCAGTGTTTTTCAGCGAGACCATCTGTTGTTTTGTTATGTACATTGTTTGAACATGCTGTGAAAAGATGCTCAGTTAGGTTTCAGATTGGGAGACTGTGCAGGCAGCGAACTGCAGTCTCTGTCATGTGCAGTTTCTTCATATTGTGGCACATATCCTGGTGGGAGCATCTGTTTGAAGATTGTACAAAAGTGATTGTGACCACTCAAAGATCTTGTCTGAAACAGTGTGTAGGCATGTGGCGGTGTTCAAACAGTGCTTGTTTGGCCAAATTGGAACCAAGAAACCACTCCTGCTCCGTCACACCACCACCTCATACTGCAAAGCATCAGGCAGAATTAATCCATGGCTGCACTGTTCATACCCTGCCTGCCAAACATTAAACCCTTTGTTTATAAGGAGGTTGCATCTTGCTGGCAGGAGCTGAACCCAGCATGGTTTGATGAGTTGCATGCACATCGCTGCTCCACCGAGCAGCTGTTTGCAGCAAATCAACCTTTGCCACTGTCCTCTGACCTGTCTCATCAGCAAGAAACTGTTGGCACGGCAACGGCAGCTGACAGGATATGTTTTGTTTACCTCACGATTCTTAATATACTCTCTAGGCATTGTCATACACAAAATCCCAGAGGGCGAGGTATTGAAATTGACCCATCTGGCACCAACAACAACACGCGAAGGCGTTTAGTCGAATAGTAAATGAACCTCTCGACTGTCTGCATCCGTAACAGCTTTATCTCTTTTAAATGTGATTCACTGTTTGGCGGAACAAGTTGTTTGCACCAATGTGGGTGTGTTTAATAAAGTAGGCGCTGAATATGTTTTGAATAGTAATTGTTATCTCATTCACTGCAGGCCACTTCATGTTTATACTGAAGAACAGTAGCAGTCTTTATCCAAGGGCTGTTCTCAGAGGACCCTGGTTCAGACAATCGGCCTCCGGGTGCACGATGACCTTTTGGTGAGAGTCACACTGTTGCTTACTTTTCTACCCTCTATAAAGTTTTTCAACATGACTCGTTATCATCGCCCGCGCCTATAGATGCACCTACAATTTCAGACTCTTTCCATTTCCTGTCTCTTCCTCTGTGTTTTTCTTGATCTTTCTCCCTTTCCTCCAACCATCATTTCACTTGTCTCAGCTCTGCTGTCTTAGCATCTCTCATATTTCCCAGTCAAACACAGAGAGAACATACGCATCTGAATCTGTCATGTTTTGAGTGTCTTACAGCCCCCAAAAATTCACATCAAATGATATGACTTTGATGTGATTGTAGGTGTACTCCTGGCAGAGTAACAGCCCTCATGTAATATGTCTAGTAAGCTATGCTAACTGTGATTTCTAGTATCTGTTGTGAAGAAATAATTAAGTATGAAAAAAAAATGCACACATTAGACACGTTAGACTCTCTCCCTCCTTTCCTTCAGGCATTATAACTCAGGCATATCTGTGGGAGCTGCAGACATGTACCTTCGAATCAAAGGAGTCCAAAACAACACTGTCATATGGAGGACATTGTACGACCAGGGCACCCGCTGGAACCAGGTCACCGTACAGCTGGGACGCATCACCCAGCCCTTCCAGATCGCTTTGGCTAAGATCAGCCTCGGTGTGTTTGATGGTGTCTCTGCCTTGGATGATGTCACCTTCAAGAACTGCTCGATGCCCCCGGCGGTGGCAGAGTGTCCCGCGCTCACACATTTCCAATGTGCGAGTACCAAAGCATGTGTGGAACACCTGCAGCTCTGTGACCTTGTGGATGACTGTGGGGATGGATCCGACGAGAAGGGATGTTGTAAGTGTCTCTTTTGGTTGTAAATATTTGCTGGTGGAAGAAATACTCTTTTACTTAAAAAGGAGCTCTGACAGGTTTACAGGTTTTGGACTGCATTTTGAAAAAAACTGTTATATAAAGCATTTTGTGGCTCCAGAAATTTGATTAAATTACCTCAAGTGATGTCACTTGAGTCAGTGTCAGTTTGGGCTGAAGACTACAAGTTGAAAATAAATCATAAATCTTGGGGTGTGGATTTAGAAAGTGAGCTTGCCAAACCTTTGTAGCCTGCTTCTCTGCTTGAGGGTAGCAACCCAAGGCGACATTAGTTCAGCACACCAAAATCTTAGATCAAACTTTTGGTGACCAAGGTGAATTATGGGTAGTGTGCACAATTGTCCATCGTGAGTCTGACAATTTTAAATCAGCACAGTGCTATTTTTAGCAGAAGTAGCTATACTGCAATATAGAAAAGTGAAAGTTCTCATAATGCAGAAAAAAATCCCCTGTGATTGATTATTATATATGCATTATTATAACTGATTAATTCATGTGTAAGTATCATTTTACGGTTTTAAGTGGTGTCAGTAGAGCTATTTTTGAAGTAGTTAACGCAAAAGTGCATCATATTTTTTTTTATCTCATATGCTTCGTGTGTAAAACTACTGCAGTGGAAGTAAAAGTACAATATTTCTATAGCAGAGTAGAAATGTTTCTATTCCTGCTTGTGAAGCTTATGTTGCTGCAGTCAAGTGCAGCTGTCTGTGAGGCTTTATATTGTTTTCTGGCTCCATTGAAATCCATTTCCTGTCACGGCTCACAGCTCCAGAGCTGCAGTGTAACTTTGAGCGTGGGCTGTGCAGCTGGAAGCAAGAACAGAGTGGAGGAGATGTGTTTGACTGGACCCGGATCCAAGGCCCGACTCCGACCTTTAACACGGGGCCCTGGAAGGACCACACACTGGGCACCAGCTACGGGCACTACCTCTACATCGAGTCCTCCTTTCCCCAGGAGTTCAAGGACACAGCTGTGTTGCTGAGCAGAGTCTTCCAACCCACCCACCAGCGTGGCAAAGACCCCTCCAGGTCCCGCCACCACTGTGTTTTCCGCTTCCATTACCACATGTTCGGCTCGCACGTGTTCTGCCTGGCAGTGTACATCAGGACTACCTCTACAGGCCGCGGGCACATGCTATGGGTACGATATGGAGACCAAGGAAACCTCTGGCACAGGAAGACTCTCTACCTCAACAGCGCTCGGCCTTTCCAGGTAACTATCGGCTCTACAAACTGATCTGAAAGGTGGAAGGTGTGCTTCTGCCTTAAAGAATAAGACTCTTTCTGTCATCTGACGTGCTTTTTCACTTTGCAATGAGCAGAAAGACAGAATATGTTTGCAGATATATTCATTGACCCTGAAGACAAGTTGATCATTTAAGTTCAAACCATGATGGAGGAAGTATTCAGGTGAAATGTCACAATACTAAAGTCTAAAAATACCATTATAAGAACAAAGCATTCACCAGCATACTCCAGTTTAACTTCGCAGAATGGCCACTTTTAGCGAGTTGTATAATTTTTGTAATTGTTTTGATTTTATTATATACTGTTGGGTCATTTAATTTGTTACAAAACATTATATTTGAGGTAAGTCTTAATCTGCAAAGCAACTATTTGCCCAAATAAATGTAGTTGATTGAAAGTAAAACATTTCCCTATGAAATGTAAATGAGTAGAACAACAATGTACCTACAAAATATGTATACAGTAAATGAGAAAATTTATTTACTTTCAACACTGGTTAAGTGGTACTATAATACCACTTGTAGTCACGTCACATCCCGCTCTAAATTCGGTCCCCTTGTGTAATCAAAGACAGACATGAGCTACAGGTAAACACAGCTCCCCAGCAGGCAACAATTAAACTCTAGCGAAGCAAAGAGTCTGTATTTAGTGTGCACTACAGCATTACATGATGAAGATCTATTTAATAGCTTCGCTGCTTGACATCGATCCCTTCAAGATGGATGTTCTGCTGTCATTACTCGTGAGTGAGTATAACTTGACAGGCAGTTAAAGACTTTCCTCCATTACGGCATTGAAAACAAGGAGCTCTGTTTGTCAAGTTAATTGACTGCTGAAAGGGTAAAAGTGAACAAAAAAGAGACACTGATGCATTAAATTCAGACTCACCCTAGGCATGTTGTGTGTACAGTATATATATACACACACAGTACACACAGTATACATAAGTATTAAAGTAATAAAGAACATAAAAAATGCACGGAAAAAGCTACAATGATCTTAGCACCATAACAGATCATTAAATTGTTTCCAAGACGAGTTGTTTGCCAAGCAATTGGAAATGCCTGATTATTAGAAAAATATTTCAAAATGTGTGTTTGCTAAACTGCTTGAATCATGTTGATGTGACATCTAAAAAAACCTACAAACTCACATGGTGCCTCTTCCTCAGATAGTGCTTCAAATAAACATTTAAACAGGCTTTTCTTGCTTATTAGATATGCCCATTCTGTGTTGGGCTGATTACTACAGTAACAACATTATCAGGAGAAAACATTTCTTAATTCTGAGATTTGAACTGCATTCCTTGAAAGCTAATATCTGTCTCTCTTTGTTCAATATTTCCAAACTATGTTCCACTCTGCAATAACACAAAGTCAACAGACCTGGTGGCTGCCGCTGACACAAACTTATCTGACGCAATCATCTTTGAGCTGATGATTTGGTGCATTTGAAAGCTGGGAGAAAAGTGTAAAATTCAGTGTATGTAGCAAAGATTACTGGCAAACAAACAGAAAACAGCACAGGTATCTTAGAATTGGGATTATTTTGTTGATTTGGTTTTGTATGTTAATGATTTTCTTGGGTTTATTTTCCTTTTGCCAGATTTTAATTGAAGGTACAGTTGGAGATGATTTTAACGGAGACATTGCGATTGATGACCTTTCCTTCCTGAACTGCAACCCATATGAGGGTAAATGATCATTCCATAACAGAAAATATGAACTTTTTAATGCAGTGTTGGTGTTCTAATGTCCCTTGTTGATTTATGTTTTCTACTCTGTCTTGTTCCAGGAGAGCTACCCACAGCGAATAACACAACCCCTGCGGTGACCCCTCCAGCCCCCACAGTTCAGCCCCACAGTTGCCCTGATGGAGAGTTTGTGTGTGGGGCACATGGGGAGTGTGTTGCCAACAGCAAAGTGTGTGACTTCAGACAGGACTGTTCTGATGGCTCAGATGAACTGAACTGTGGTAAAACATTTTTCTTCTCTCAGAGTTTCTACATAGAAAGCTTTGATTGTGTTATAATTTTCTTCACAGTGTCTTTCTCTTTCCCTTGGTTTCTTGCATTCTCTACTCACTTACCTTTCTCTTTCTCCAGTGAAGGAACAGTGCCATTTTGAAGGCAGTGATACTTGTGGTTGGAAGAGCTTCGACTCCTCTTTGGTCCCAATCCACACGTTTCGCTGGATCGCCGACCAAGGGGAGAGTATTCATAACGGAGAGCAGTTTCACCGTCCTATAAACGACCACACCCTGTGAGTACCAGCAAAAAAAAACATATATGTTGCAAGTATGACAATATATAAAACAACAGAACGCTGTATCCTTGGAAAAGAAAATGGAAATCAAGATAAGACAACAATATGTTCTCTGGTCATAATCCCCATTTTTATTAAATGTAACTGTGGTCTGATTACGCCTATGTTTTTGTAACTGTATTGTTACATTGTACTGTAACTCAGTTACATGTAATCCGTTACTCCCCAAAGCCTGACCGTAATATCTCTGGAGCCAAAACAATATATTTGGATTTTTCACTGTTGGTTGAATAAAACAAGCAATTTGAAGATATCATCTTAGGCTCTTAGACATAATCTGAAAACTAAACTTAACTCAAATTGGATAACTTAAAAAATATCCTTATTATCCTCCTGTCCCTAAATTGATCACAAATGTAGAAGAGCTAAATAACAACTAATAACTCAAGAAGAAGAAACGCTCTGGTACATAGTAGGGATGACATTTAAAGAAAAGGTAGAAAGTAGAAACTATTATCATATTAATTATTAGATTAGTGGTACTTTTTTTCTCTTTCTTATGCATTATGATTTAAAAGTAATAACATTCAGAGAAAGAAAATGTACTGTGAGCAGGGTGAGTATGCTCCACCTAAAGCCGATAGACAGTGACCTGATTGTCCTTATCTGTGTTTTATCGAGTGGACAGTGAGAGCAGAAAATGGCAGTTCACTTTGACCACTACATTTCAGTAATTTCTTCCCTCTGCCAGAATTGCAGACACTATCTTCTTTCATCACCTCTCTGTCTGCCTGAAACTCTCCTTCCTCACTACTGCAGCAGCCGTGACTGGCTCTCAATCGATAAGGCACGGGTGAAATGGAAAGGGGCAGCTGTGTCTTATTTAACCCAAGTGGAGCCACACCTCTTATGGGAATTTAATAAAGTGAAGCCAAATGGGTCAGAGCAGATAAAGGCACGGTGCTGAGAGTGAGAGGATACAGATGAAGTCTGTGAATGCAGTTATAGCACTACTCTTAATATTAGTCGACAGTTTTGTGATTGGTAGTTTATAGCTTGTTGGCTGAATAAGCTCAAGAACAGTGATGAGTGTCAGTAAGGGGGGTAGGTGGTCAAAAGGACTGCAACTACTGTAGTGATTATTTTAAGTATAGCTTAATCTGCTGAAAAAAGGTTTCAAAATGTCAATTTCTTTTTCAAATCTTTTTGTTTTAGCCAACCAAAAGTCAAAAGAATGGAAAATTACTGAAACAAATAACCAGTCCTCAAAGGTGTTGCTGATTAAAACTGTTCCAGCTCTAGTATAACAGTGTCAGAACTATGAAAAGAAGACCTAAGTTCTCTTTAAGGAACCCTTCACTCAAAAATATGTTTTGCTTGTTGTTGGAGAGCGGGTCGTCCACTAATCAGAACTCCCGGTGCTGTGCATCAGTGTATGAATAGTTTGTGATGAGCCTAGGCCATCGCTGTATGAATGCGTGAATGTAGAATGTAGTGTGAAAGTGCTTTGAGTGGTTGGAAGACTAGAAAGGTGCTAGATAAGTACAATGCATTTACCATTTATTACATGGGTGTCTGTACATATCTGTTACTTTAATCTGCTGAAAGTGAAAAGTTTCTCTGGGCTCAAGGAAATTCTGATTTTAAAGAGCCTTTTAAGCAAGTCTGTGCTGGTCCACTATGCAACTTATACTAGTGTGATGTAGAAACTTGAAGCCATCATTGCACATAGACTGACAATGGGCTATATTGCAAGTTTACAGTACAAGTAGGAGACATCATGTGTCCAGCAGGTAAACTTTAGAAATTAACAAAATGTGCATATTTATATATTCTTGAGTTTTTAATGCAATAGAAGCATTAGATGCAGAGAGTAGATGCATTTTTAAGGATTGTAATGTGTAAATTATACTGTTATGTGTTGTTTCTGTGCAGAAAAAACATATCAGACACACATTATGATTCCAAGTCTAAATTTACAGGAACACACTGCAAGTAGAATAGAAAAGCGAACCAAAAAGTGACAGTGAAGAAGAGAATAGGGTTTGTTGTAAAATTTATATAAAAAAAGAAAAAAGTTGGACACTCAAAGCAATCAGTGTCGAGAGGCCTTTCTCTGAGCAGTAGGGTTTCAAAGGAGGTCACTTATAACCAAGAAAATCTATAAAATGTCTCAATAATGATGCAAACTCTCAGTTGATGCAGAAAAATTCACAGTTGGACTCACAAGATGGGGACATGATTATGATCTCCTTCTGTACTTTCTGTCTTTCCACTGCTAGAGGCAGTCCTGAGGGTTGGTATATGTGTGCAGACAGTTCAAACGGCGGCTATGGTCAAACCACTGACCTTCAGACACCTGTCATCTCCTCCACTGGGCCACAGTGCACCCTGGACTTCTGGTACTACATGAGTGGCTTCACAGTGGGATCACTGCAAGTAAGAAGATTAAGTAAACTGCATTCAGCGGAGAATAATACTCCGTGTACAACGTTTCACTCACCTATTGTACTCACAATACGTGCAGGTGCTGTTGAAGTATGGAAACGTCTCTCACGAGGTTTGGTCTCAGACTGGTAACCAAGGCAACAAATGGAGACGAGGAGAAGTGTTTTTGGGGTTATCAAACAACTTCCAGGTCTGTAAATTATTTTGTCACTTTAAAATGTGTTAAATATCCAGATTCAATGCAATGAAATGTCTCACATAATGTTCCTTTGTAAAAAGTGATGCTGCATCAGATGTTCTGGTCTTGCTTTAGGTGATACTTGTTTTTTCTTTTCTTCAATTATGAGCTTCTTATAAGATACATCTCATTCTCCTATTTCTATTTTTTCTATAAATGTTAAAATAAATCAGGATGAATTTATCAAGAAGCAAAATTAGTAAAATATATGGTAGTTCCTATGACTCCCATGATTATCAGAGAACCATTAGTTGCTTTTATTGGAAGTATTATCACAAGAAATATATATATTTTTATTATTTTTTTATTTTCACAGACAATAAGTGACATTAACACATGCTAACATATAATATATTCAATGGCACACATATTGGAATCAAATATGATGTCTGTATCCTTCATTCTAAATCAAATCATGTATCTTAGTGTGAGTTCATTGCTGATTATGTATGTCTTTATACACCAACTGAGGACAAAATGGTCACTTGCTGCCTGATATAACCCCCCCACTGACAGGTGCCATGAAACCAAGATAATCATTGTTCTGTTCTGTATGTTTGTTTTTAAGTTGCTTGCTCCATTGCTAATAAATCCATTATCACCTGAAATATGATTATTTCATCATATAAGATAACTTATTTAATGATTCTGGATAAATTTATCAAGAAGCATAAAACATGTTTATAGAAGTTACTTGCTTTATTATCAGAGAACCAACTCCTGTTTTTATTGGCAGAATTATCACCAGAAATATCTGAGTATAACTCAAAGGATGTAACTGCTGCTTGAACAACAATTATTCATCACTTACTTTCCTTAACTGAGCAAATGTGTGTAAAACTCTTTACAATGTTAGAGATGAAATACCATTTAGTGTGAAGATTCAGATTATTGACATTCAGTTTGAGGTGAAGGGCAGCCTCTTAGATGACTCTCCACATCAATGTAATTGGCCTAATTTCAGTTTGCGGCAGGCTAAACTGGACACGCAGACTTGATCAATGATGAATTGATTGACTCTAATTTAGTCTAATGAGTCTTAACTTGTGAGTGTGACAGTAATCAGAGTTGCAATCCCTTCATGGTGTATGGCTGCGGAGGTTATTCCAGGGCAGTATGACCACACACACACACACAGACAGAGGAACTGTGTCAGCCCTGGTGGCATGATTGCACAGAAGCTGTTTGACCAAATACCATGGCCTTTGCCCATTTTCATTAACCTTTGTCAGACCAGACAGATTCAGATCTGCATTCATGGTACAATCAGCAGCTGAAGGGCCCCTTTTCCAGAGTCCAAGTGTGCCCTTTTCCCCTCGTCTCTGAGCTCTTCATCAACTGACTGCCCCAAGACGCAGAATTACATCACTCAGTAGACCAGCAGTTGTTGCCTCTTTGGTTTTGTTGCCTTGTTTGATGATATCAAGTGTCAACCCTGGTGTGATTAGACAGACAGGGCCAAGAGTTGATCATCTTAAGTTCGTTGTCCTTTCTCAGGTGGTGTTCAGGGCGAAGCGAGGGATCAGCTACATGGGCGATGTGGTGATCGATGATGTCAGCTTCCTGCACTGCTCCCCTCCTCTTCCGTCAGACCAGCCGTGTACACCTGAGCAGTACGCCTGCGCTAATGGCCACTGCATCCCTCAGGACAACCTGTGTGACTTCATCAACCACTGCGGGGACAACTCTGACGAGGACCACTACATCTGCAGTGAGGCCTCCTCTAATGTCTGACCGATGACACCCTGCAAAAGATTAATTTACAGATAATTGGACAGCCTGAATGGATTTATTTTTTTTATTTTTTTATTGCTGTCTTTCAGAGGGCTTTAGCGGACGCTGCAGTTTTGAGTTCGACCTCTGTTCCTGGCGCCAGAGCCGAGAGGATAACTTTGATTGGCTGATCAAAGCAGGCAGCACTCCGACAGTTGGCACCGGGCCATCGACGGACCATACCCTGAGAGACCCCTCTGGGCACTACCTCTACCTGGAGAGCACCTTCCCCCAGGCAGCTGGAGACACCGCCTGCATATCAGGACCCTTACTAAGCCGCAGGAGCTCACAGTGCAAGGTGAGGTGGGGGTCAAAGTGCAGAGGGCGCGGGGTCAGTAAGCAGCTATTTGACTAACAAGGCTACACTAAAAGGACTGGAAACAAACAAGTTAGTATGATATCATAATTTGAAATATAACTTCTTGAAGAACAAGATCAGTATTTTGACCATTTATATTTGCACTGATGCTCCTTTGGGAAGAAACATTTACAGGTTCTGCATAAAATATATGGCCTAAAATAAACAAATACTACCTATTAAAACTGAATTGCTAAAACTATAGCACTCAGAATAGATGGAATAAGTTAAAGACATTCTATAAAATGTAGTAAAACGTTATCACTCCTGTGGATTCCCTGCCCTGAATGCTGAGATGTATTCTGAAAATCTAATCTGAAAGGGACAAAAAACAACGTATTTATATTAGTCTCTAGACATATATTAACTACATAATGTTTAATGTATATATCACATTGTATATTTATAGTTATAGTGGTATTTAGTGCTCGAATAACTAAAGAGGCAGCAGAAACCGTGATATAATCTATAATTTTCAGTTAGGAAATAATAAACAGAGATAAATGCTTCCTTTAAGGTCCAGTGAGTAACATTCAGGAAGATCTATTGTGAGAAATGGAATAAAATATTCATTGGTATGTTTCATTCTTCTTCTACGGAGTCCTCCATGTTGAACCGCCATGTTCCCACAGCAGCCAAGAGCAGACAAACCAAACACTGATGTATAGATGGGGCCTTTTACGATTTTTGTGAGTTGTTCTCTTACATGCTTGGAATGGGAAAGTGAGGCGAGGGCGTTGTTATCTGCAACTACACACACAACACACTGGACCTAAATAAATAAATAAAATTCAACACTATTTGATATATTCACAGTAAAAGTTTTAGTTTGGCTTTTTGGGAAACTTTTTTTTGCTTTTTTGCCAAGAGTTACACTCCCATTAATATGAATATGAAGCTACAGCCAAGTAACCTCTTATTAACATGTTATATCTTGTATCATTAATCTGTACAAAGATGAACAATACATATGTTTAACCCTTTTCCAGTATTTATGCTAAGCTAAGCTAACCATCTCCTGGCTGTAACTTCCCATTTCAACATGAGAGTGGTGTCAATCCTCTCATTTAACTCTTGGCAAGAAAATAAATATGTGTATCTCTCAAAAGCTTTTTTTTTAGCTTTTTGGAATAAATGTTAAAAACATGTACAGATGAAAATGTGTTGTGTGCAAAACAAGCAATTAGAAACTGAGTGTATGTGCTAGTGCACTCTTAGCTGTCAGCCCGACGCTCTACCGGGAACAATGTCTTGATTGACTGTGCAGTTTGCTCTGCACACCGTGTCTGTCTTGTCCCTCTCCTGACCTGCCAATCAATCACACAGTCAGCAAAAAGGCACCAATTAAACTGAAGGGATGGCTGTGCATGAGGGGGGGAGTGAGAAGGAGAGAAGGACAGCCAGTCTCTCCTGAGATTGAGGGTGTTGTTGTGCTGCTGCAGCTCATGAACACTCCTCAATTTGGAGAGAAAACCTATAAAATCTATCACTGCCTCAGTGCTGTGTGATGGAGTGACACAAATTTCTCTCCGAGCTTTAATAAAGAAAAGGACTGAAAGGAAAAAGTGCATTGATCTTGTGACAAGATTAAAATTGAATTACCTTTGTATGCCTATACTTTTGGTTTCTTTCCATATTCTGCTCCGAGGAGTAATGGTTATTCAGGAGAAAGATAAAAGAGAAGAAACATAATGGAAAAGAAAGCGGTGTCAGTGTGCCAAAGGAGACCAAAGAACTATCAATCAATCCTATGTAATATGCATGTTACTCAGAATTTGCCAGCATTTCCAGAATCAGAATCAATATCAAGTATTTTATTGATCCTCGGGGGGAAATAGGTTGCGTTACAGTTGCTCAAGTTGCTAAGCAAGAAAGACAAGTAATAGAAATAGTAAGAAAGTTAAAATATGTGCATTAAATAACAATATATAAAAAATTGAGAGTGTGAAAAATATGTACATTATATTAAAGGATATAACAATATATAGAAATAAGAAAATAAGAGATTATAAATATGTATAGTACAGTATACAACAGAAGTTTTAGGAATAATGATGACTACTAGTAAAGGCTAAAATATATACACTATGGCAATGTCAGTGGCTTGTTTAGTCATATGTTTCATTTTCTGTCCTTGGTCCAGATGCGTTTTTATCTCCACATGTCTGGAGACGGCATCGGGACCCTCAGTGTGTTCGGGAAAAGCGAAGGACGTCTTCATCTCCTTCTGAACCTGACGGGAGATCAGGGCAACTACTGGCAGATGAAAGAGATCCCGCTGAGCTCCACCGGGGACTTTCAGGTCATGTTTGAGGGCAAGGTCGGCCGAAGTCCAAAGGGTGACATCTGCCTGGATGACATCACTTTCTCTCCTGGGTGTCTGCTCGCCTCCTCAGCTGCAGTAGAGGACAACACTCCTCCACCTCCTGCAGGTATACACTCTTCTCTTCTCTCTTGTTTTTCAGATGCTACTCATGTAGGTTTTTTTTCTCAGCTCCAACTGTGTTCCCCCTCACTGAATCCCACCTCCTACCCGACCCCCCCTTGGACTCAAAAAACAATGTGAAGAACTGCTATTTCAATTTTTCTTGTTGTTTTTTTCCAGGGACTAATCTCTTTTGTATTATTATCAGGACTCACGTCCATCACGTTCTATCTAAATTTGATTTACTATAATCCTCCTCTCCCTTTGAATTGCCTTTCAAAGTGTTTCTTCCATCCTAGGGGAACATAATGTTACGTTCAGTCCAGTTAGTACCTCAACAACTATTAAATGCTTTACTCTGAAGTTAGACCTTCATGGTTCCCAGAGGACAATGCCAAATCACTTCACCATAAACGGCACCATGGGGTTTACATTTTTTGTTAAATGTTTAACAAATATCAGATGGATTAGCATCGAGGTTGAATCAGCCATTCATGTTGATTTGTAATAACTTCATAGATCTTTTAACTTGATCTTGTGCCATCATCAGGTCAAATATCATGGCCAAAACAAGACTTTGCCCTCAGTGCTAATCATCAAATGTTCGCACACTAACACCCTAAACTACGACAGTTATCAAGGTAAAAAAAAATCAGGATGTTAGCAGTTAGCTCAACACACCAAAGTACAGTCTCACAGAGCTTTAGATCTGTTCTTGTTTTTAAAGTTCAACGAGGCACTGTCCTTGCAAAACAAAAATGACCGTAAAAAGCCTGCCTCATTTGTACTGGAGCTGTAATAAACAACCAGTAAATTCCTGCCAGAGACTGGAGCCTCAATGAAGACCAGGGAGTAGCTGGAACATATTGTTTTTTTTATTGTTCCTGAAAGCACTGGCCTGTTAATAGTGGCTTTTTAATTCCATTGTGACAAGGAGAGTGCCGGGACTGCAGTCTTCTTGCTACTTTTAGTAAATAACTGTATCACTTTAGGGCTGTTTTCTTATACGAGCATATTTTAAAATGACTCACAGTGTGAGAAGAACATGCCTATGATGCTCAAAGTGCCAGATTTGATTACTTCCCTGATTTATGGAAGATATAACATTACTAAAATGTAGATAATTTTAATCTTGATGACTTTCACCGTAATAATGTGCTGATATGAGCAATGAGAGAATTATTGGCTGCTGGGATAGTAGAAACTTTATTTGGAGGGTGAAAATCTGCAGTTTTAGAAAATGATGTAATATTTATGTAGTGTCAGATCTCCTGGAAATTGAAGACATTTGTCACTTGTGTCGGATATCTCGGCGCAAACATGCAGCAACACTCTTGCACTCATGTGTGTTAAACCCTCACAAACCCTCAATTTCTATGAGGGTACATGCTTTTATTAATATATAAAATTGAGCAAAAGACTGAATCAAATTCTATGTTTCACATCTGAGCCCCTCAATAACATCCTTTTTCAACCAGAATAATGTTGAAATATGGATAAAAGGCACAATAAAAATGCAGTTTCCTTGTGACATGAAGCAAAAATTATGAATATTTTCAGCACTGAACATTAAACATTCTGTTTGTCACTGTCCGTCTAAGCCCAGGGTCCCAAACTCAAAACAGCTCAGAGCCACTGCTGGTATTGTCATTTTATAGGAGGGCCACTTTACCACGTTTAAGCACGATAAGAAAGTGCAATATGTGGAAAATGTTTCCATTACTTAATGATATTACATTTTTATATCAAGAGGAGGAGGGAGGGAAGGGGATGGAGGGCCGCAAATGGCCCCCAAGCCGGCAGTTGGAACCCCTGGTCTAAGCCCTGAGTAAAGCCCCATTACTGTCTGTATCTCATAGTTGGGAACCATTCATCTATTAGATGTCCCTCTGCATCCCCTACCTTCTTTATGAGGGAACCCTAGAAGAGGCGAGAGAAAACAATAAGAGCTGATTTATTGCCGTTGTTACTGCGGCTATAATTGGCCTATTAAATTTATTGCCTTTCTCTTGTATTGGATGCTGGGGAGAAGAGAGAGTTTCTGGATTGTCTGTGCTCACAAACTGTGAGGCTGTGTGGCCCCTGAAAGTGTCTCCTTGTCATTTTGACATGAGCTGGAGAAGGCTTCTCTTCAGTAGCTGATAAGTGTGATGTGTAGTGAAGATTTCCCTTACAGCTGTGTCTTTCTCTCACTTGTTTCACTGTCTCGCTGTCTCTCTGCATTCGTCATTATTAGGGCTTCCAGTGAATAGCTCACACATAGTCGGCGTATTAATCAGTCACAGAGCTCTGAAGTAGTGTAATCAGTGAGCAGTAATGATGCTTCCATGTTAATGCTGTTACATTTAGCTCACTGGCAGTTTATCATCTCACTCTCCTGCTCTGCTTAATGCCTTCATCAAAACTCTGGTGTTTTAAAAGGATGCTCGAATAGATATATCTGTCTTGAGCAGCATGTTGACATTGGTGGTTGCTGAAAGTTGTCCATGCTTATTACAAAAAAATGCTTTGTCCCATGTGCCTTTAGTGGTATCTACAGATAGTTTTGGCTTTATTTGACTAAGTTTTTAGATGTCAGCATTTGAGATTTCTGCCCAAACCCCAACACAGTGAATGCAATGTCATTTGTGACGCTGTAAAAAAGAAACATTAAAACAATTCAGCATCAATGTGTCTTTACAGAAACTGTGTTTACTCTGGATTATCCACAGCACTCACTGTGATCAGTGTGGAGCGGCTTTCTACTGAAGAAATAGTCCCTCTGAATGCTGTTGACAGTTTATTCTGTGGATAATCCAGAACAACAGGGACTCTGTCTTCTGCAACCAAAATATGATTCCCCTCCATTGTGTTGAAGTGGGGGCAAACATTTCAAATAGATTTCCATAACATAACCAAATCAAAAAGTGAGAAAATATGGTTTCGTCTGTCATTTGGGTGAAGTGACTCTTAAATTTAAATGCAGACATAGTTCAGTAAATGAATATGTGCATGTACCTTACTTCTGATGCAAATTATGTTTATGAATATAGCTACAATCTTATCCAGGTTCAAAATGAGTCCAACAGTGAAACAAGCTTTTATACAGTGCCTATACTGTATAGCATGCTTAAACAAAGGAGCTGGCAGAATCTGTCAAAAGGATTCCAGTGTATTGAACTACTGGGTTGAGAAATACCAGAAAGAAAAAAATATTGCAAGGGAGAAAGGGCAGAAGAAGTGTTTTATTTTTTCTTCTTCAAAACATGACAGAATGATTTTCAGAACAAGTAAAAGCAGAGCAAATAAAGTGGGATGGAAATAGAAAGGGATGTGGGTCTGGAGAATAGAGGGATAGGTAGTATATCTTGAAGGTTAAGACAGGGAGCAAAACAGCTGCCCTGAAAGTGAAGTTCATTCCACTATTTAAAGAGCCAGAGGGGAGAGCCTTTGCTGCTGCAGGCTGCAGAAGACGTACGCTGATGAGACCAAAGACAGCCTGAGCTGTAATTATATACTAAAGCCCCTCAGGGACATTTTCTTCCACTGCTTCATTCTATAATACTATCACATTACATGATGGAGAGGTGAAACACACGGCACGCTCCCCTAGCATTTTATCTTGAATTTAACAAGACGTTATGGCCCAAATCATGCAAACAATTTTAATGTAATTTGCTGTCAGATACTAAAGTGTAGGTATGCTGCATGGGGGGAAAAAACAGAATATCCAACAATAATTTTTGATACAGCATGTGAGTCCTAGTTTAATCCTTGCCATTCTCTACTTGAGCAATTTCAGACTTTACCTAATAAATAATTAAAATGACGTGAAAACGAATCACATTCATTAGAAGAGAACTGGGACGAGGTCATTAGTTAAGGCTTTAATGGCAAAACACGTTTTAAAGATCCATCAGGAAACTCTCTTTGTCCTTCATATTCGTGTCTGAAGAAAGCCGCAAGGAACATTTAGGTAACAATCATCTACACCAGGTGGCCACTTTATTAGGTACACCTGAGGAATCGAATGCAGTCCAAATGACAAAAAGTCATTACTTTAACTGACAGATGCAATGTTAGTAGACTTGTTCTCTGTTCCCCTCTTATCATCAGTGGCCTCTAATCTCATAAATTCAGTTTAATCTTCATTTTGACTGTTATGAACTTGACAGCGTCTAATCAAAAAGGCACTTTCGATGTATGAGGTTGACTTATCAGACATGCTGTGAGAGCTACTTGGTTTTGGTTCTGTCACTGTCAAAGAAAGGGAGGGAGCAAAGGGCAGCAGAACAACAATGAAGCATCAGTTTCATTTATAAAATATTAAAAGAAAACAGGAGGAAGCCAGATAAAATTTGTAAATTAAATTGAAATATAACACTTCAGATGTCAGAGGAAAGACAATACAGTGGATCACATACAATGACACCTTTCATTGACGTGACTGGATAACTTGCCTCACTTTATCTTTGATTTCACATTACAGAAGTAATTCAGTGTGAATTCTTTATAATGTTGGTCTGGAGCAACATCCTTGCACCAGGGGGCAGTATGCCACGCAGGGTGACTGACCGACATACTGTAGATGAGGACAGTGGCTCCCTGGTGTGAAGGTCACATTACAGACAGCAATGCAGAGCCCTAAAGATATCCACGTAACATGATATGTACTGGAATTAATAAGGACAAATTAAAGTCTGCATTCACAGAGTAACAGGTGAAGAACTACACATGTAAAGAGATATTATTTGCTTCCAACATGAACGTTTCTTTAACATGAATCCACCTACAGCTCCAGTATGCTCCCCATCAGGTGGTGAGGCAGCCTGGCTTCACAGTCGGGAGCTGTGGCTTCCTGGCTTCCTATGTGCCTTTGTTGGGGCACATTGCTTCTGGTCCTGTGCATCTGAAGAGGAACAAAGGATTAGGAGGGACTAATATCCCTTTCTCTCCTTTACTTACAGGGACCACCCCTCTTCATCACGCCTCATCTCCCTCTCTAACACTCCCCAAAGCTAAGCACTGACCCCACTGGAATTCCTGGCACCAAAAGAAGCAGATTCCAGCCCCCTCCAGCACCGCCACCCTATGATACACTGATTTGGGCTTATAGCCCCATGCCCCTTTGTCTTCTTAAGCCTCTTAAAGAGACCCTGATGCTGTATGCAGATGGTCTCCCCACTCTTGAGTTGACTTCTTATGCTCTGAAGTTAATACTTAACTCTTGTAGTGCTGTTAAAGTTGGTGAAGCACACAGTAGACACTATCATTACACTATGAAGCATAGTTTGTCATTTTGGGAACTATGCTTATTTGCTTTCCTGTCGAGATGTAGAGAAGATCGATACCACTCTCATGTCTGTACTGTAAATATGAAGCTGCAGCCAGCGTTTGGTTAGCTTAGCTTAGCATAAAGACTTGAGAAAAAGAGGGAAGCAGCTAGCCTTGCTCTGTCAGGAGCTAACAAAAACCACCTACCAGCATCTCTAAAGCTCACTAATTAACACCTTATATCTTTACACCTGTAAAAGCTAGTTGTTGCAGTTTTTTTATGGGGATATTCTGCAATTGACTATTTTTCGCGGAGCAGTTACTTCCTAAAATGTTTGGTTTTGATAAATATGAAACAAATAAGATCTTAATTAGTGAGCTTTAGAGGTGCTGGTAGGTTAAATTACCTTTGGATGGAGCCAGGCTAGCTGTTCCACCCCGTTTTCAGTCTTTATGCTAATCTCGACATGAAGGTCTCTCCCTGTACAATAAAACGTTATAACACATGTTACCATGCTTACCACCAGACGCAGAAAATGTCCACTTAGCTTGTCTTTGATCAGACACCTATTATTGTTTCACATACAAGAGCACAGCCACAGTCTGAATGATATTTTATGTGTGTCTTATTTCCAGGCACCTGTCCTTCAGGCCTCCTGCTTTGTGACAATGGGCAGTGTTTCACTCCGGGGCAGAGCTGTGACTTCACAGATGACTGTGGCGATGGCACTGATGAAAAGGATTGTGGGACTTCCTGCTCCTTTGAGAACGGACGCTGTGGCTGGAAGAGCTCCCTGGCCGATAACTTCGACTGGACACTAGGGGTTGGATCTATCAAAAGCATACGGCCTCCATACGATCACACGTTGATGGATGAAAGTGGTACGTGTTCATATTTTGAATAGTTCATAAACATTTAAACTGTGAACTAATTTAAAAGTTGTTATGTTTTGTAACTTTATGTTTGTCATTGAAAAGAAAGTCCGTCACTGTTCTAGCCTCAAACTTAAATTAGCATTGTATAATTGAAGTGCATCTTCACTTTCTGGGTGGTTTTGTATAATCAGAGTGAATGAAACAGAGCTGACTTCAAAAATTCCACCTGTTAAACCCAAAATGCTGTGGTAGCTCTCCACAATGTTTAATTCATGCTTCAGTGACAAAATCAATGAGCTACGTCCCGGTATGTGAATGTGCAGCAGGTGAGCCTTCAGGTGATTGATGCAGGGCTCTTAGGGCTGTAATTCCATTATCCAATGTGCATGGTAAAAGGTGATATACATGAATAAATAAACACACAGGAGCTCTTACGGAGGTGCTTCTTCTAAGTATCTTAAAGTTGTAAGAATTCAGTCCTGAATATACACCAGAAGAGCAACTGCTGTATCTGCTTACAGTGCAGCCAAACAAACTCACGTGGTTGGAGCAAGAGTCGCTTACTTTACTGAGAAGTTGCAGCTAAATGTGCAGCTCTTCAAAAACACAGAAACTGACCACTGTCTTGTTTTCTACAGACACATTTTTCATAACCGATCACAATCAAAGCCCCTTTTTTGGCCAGCTGAATACCTTTAATGTGAAGCAGCAGCAGGAAATCTTCAGTTTGCATTAGCAGTAAATTAATCTGATACAGCTGTGTGAGAGTAAACAGTGAGGTTGATATATATTAGATATAATTAAAAACAAACAACAACTGCTACATCTTTGCAGACAGAAAGACTTGTGACAGCACAGATGCAGTTTTCTATTCAGCTTCATCTTTTCAGGTTTTCTCCTTTCTTTATGAGCTTCACTCAAGACTGAGAAACTTTCACAGTGGTCCCCGGGTGTCAAACGGCAGTGAGATATTAGAAGATGTGTCAGAGATCACTCTGCGACCCCTTGCCCTCACTCCTCAACCACACTGTTTGTGACCTTGCTGTTATTTGTCACTGGCTGCAAGAGCTGCCCACAGAGAGATAGTTATCAATTCCTCTTTGCCTCGTCTCCCTCCTCACTGCCCTTCTCCTCCATCACGTCTTCTTCTCTTCTCTCTTTAGGTCATTTTGTCTATCTGGAAGCTACACCAGTGGGACTCAAAGGTGATAAAGCTCATCTCAGGAGCTCTGTTTGGAAAGAGTCGAGCGCCATCTGTAAGCTCTCCTTCTGGTACTACATTTCCCACAAGGCCTCAGGAACAATCCGCCTGCTGATCAAGGTAAACCATCTGCAGGAGTGGGTTAACTCTGTTTGCAAACAATCATGATAAGAAATAATGAATCTAACTGATGCCACTTCATGATAGTTTATAAAACAAACCCTGCGGACCCACAGCTTTCCATCAAGTGTGGTTACCATGGTTACACCCAGTCAGAAATAAAGCCTGATGATATTAAATCATATTAATGTAGACAGTAATCACCTCATATTAGCACTGCTGTCTAGTGGTCTCAGTAATTTGATAAAAAGGGAGGTGAGGCTGTCAGTCCCTCTGCCAGTGTTTTTGATGTACTGTCTGTCGGGGTTGGAGGTGAGTGATGGGGGTCATGGTCACCCCTCGGCCCAGAGCAACCCCACCCCACCATCTGGGCACACACCAGCGCTGCCAGTTCTCAAGGCTTCTTGAGTTATCCAGTTTGTGTATGCATGGTTGACTTCCAGGGATTAAGATTTCTGCTTGCAGCTTTCTGCCATTGAAATTCTGCTGTGATTTTCTCTGCCTCCATCTTGTGGTCCGTGTACTCTCAACCTCATTTGACTGTGTCAGGTACGACTCAAGGTCAACGTGCAGAAGTCGTGAATGAGTAGATTCATTCTTTGGTGTGTGATTGTGCTGAATTCTCTCACACACTCACATATGCGCAGCACGTGCCTGATTGTTGATGTGTCCTTGCTGCAGAAACTGTTTTATGCATTTTGCAAAACAGCCCAGCAAGTTATCATGTAAATTTTACAGATTGTTTTTTTCTTCAAACAGCAAGAGGTAGTGTCCCACCTTGCAAAATTTGCATATCATTATACCTGCAAAACATGACAGTGATACTGTGTGAAACTGCAGCAGCTTAAGGTGTAGAGGCAACAGAGCTCATCATGTGACTGTTATTAGGAGAGAAAATTTAAACTTAAAAATGGTATTTATCTTATTGTCAACAAAGTCCATGAAAAGACCAAACAGCAACCTCTGTGACAACTCGCAAAACAAATTGCAGTTCCCTGAATGGCCACTTGAGGCTGGCTACAGAAGTGAGTCAATCTCCATAGGGCCCCATATTAAAATACCCAAATGAGCAGCCTGTTTACAAAAAAAGGTTTTCGTAGCTAATCTCTTCGTTCATGACAACTGTACTGGGTGGACATTTTTATATAACTCAGATGTTTAAATTATATTAAGAGTTAAAGTTATGCATAATTAAGGACCTGGCTGCTTTGAGTGACAGGTGGATGCCGTCACAGGCGGCTGTTTTCACCAGTTTGTCCGTAATCCTGCTGACAGATAAACAAAAAACAAAAACACCAAAAGCACCAAAAACACAACTTCCTTGGTAAAGTTATACACATTGTTGAACTGGCTGACATGTTTCTACATTACAGTGAACGTGTTTACTTTGAATCTGTCCCACGTACTGTAGACCGTCCTTTTGCTGCAAATACTCCCCAATACATAGACTATTTGCAGTGTTGAGCTGATTTAGAAAGTTACGTAGCCTTTTTTAAACATGGAAGTATATATTCGTGACATACATATTTTTGTCTGTAGTTGGAACCAATGGGGTTGGAAGGTACTGAGAAACTTTTCGTGGGGTCTGTTGACAAAAACAGAATATCAACAGACTTATACTGACTGTACACTAACTTAAAATACATTTAGGTCTTCCCACATGTCTCTCAGACACTGCTCATACACTCAATCTGGTGCCTGTGGATGTAGATATTTATTTATGCTGTTCTGAATGTACCTCCACCACCATACGCTGCTATTAATTGCACATTCAACCCTCGTGCAGACTGGATAACACCGCTCTTAGAAATTCAAATCATGGGATTTGCCCACTTTTTCAGTCAAGCCCACTGGCTATTTGATTGATTATGTGGCTCCCTGAGAGGCACGAGATGATAAATGCGCGTGGACTGTTTTACATGTCCACCTTGTTCACATAGATGAAAAATGTAAAGTGTGGCCTTTGAAAGAAGGTTAGCTCTCGACATAAAAATGCGGCGGTGGAATCACTCAGTCAGGTGGAAACACAGTCGTCGTATATTATTTTAGATATTGACTGAAGTGTGTGTGTTGTCTGATTTGTGTCTTGTGTGTGTGTGTGTGTGTGTGAGGTGTGTGTGTGTAGAGAGATAACCAATACCCCAGTTGAGCTTCATAGTCTCCCATGACACATAAATGTTGTTAAGTGCATGCATGACCTCCAAGGTTCAAAGACATTATCACTTAGAGATTATTGCTTTGTGCTATGATTCACGACATTTTAGCATTTATAGCCTCAACGTCGCCTTGAGTCAAAGCGGCTACATAAATACAAATACGAACACACATTCGCACAGACTACAAACGCACTCTGAGAGCATCATAGTGTAAACACAGTGTGAGCCATCTTTAAAGGTTGACTGAAGAACAAAGGCAGTTATGGTAATGACGCTAGAGACATCAGTGGGCACAGATGCAGAGTGAGAGGGAGGGGATTATATATACCTGGCAAGTGTTTCCCTCTGTGAAGTTCACAAGGGGGCTCAACAGTCCTGTCTGTTTATATCACCAGCCCTGTGAACTGCTCCTAAGAGTCATTACTCATCACGCTGATAACCGTCCTCAGCAGTATGTGGACTGCATGGACAGAGGCAGGATCTCAGGGTGAACCAGGAGGGCGGTGTAGCGGACGATATAGAAACCACTGCGTGTGATGTCTGCATGCAGTCTGATAATGATGTTATTTGATGTATGCATCTGCTACGCAACACTGCATGTGATACAAAGGGATCCACCTGATGTGTAGAATGTATGAGGGTTACTCCCAGAGAGATGGAGGCATCGTTCCTGTTTCACGCTGTTTCGGTTTTACTTTAAAACTATAATCAGGAGCAGATGGAGGTGTCAGGAACTGGTGATTGTTTTAAAATAAGACAGAAAGCTTGAAACAGCAAAGTTGCCTCTGCCTTTTTGAGAGTATCTCTACTCTTGTGCTGAATGTGATGGTTGCAAAAGCTCAGACTTTATTAAACCAAACTTTGTAGTACAAAGGCGTGATGGTAATGTAGCCAGCTGGAAACGACACTGTGGGGCAGTTGGTGTGGCCAGACCTGTAAGTCAGTGTACGGACAGCGATTAGGAAGTAAGAGGCACCTATTGGTGAGATGCGTAAGATAAAAAAAATTGCTTCCATTATAACAGCAGAAACTGAACGCATAATTTTAAGTGTTTGTCATGTGAGATTAACAAAGAAGTCAGCAGCTAGTTAGGTTAGCATAAAGACTGGAAACTGTCTCTGTGTGAGGATAACAAAATCCACCTCCCATCCCCTCTAAAGCTGACTATCAGTGAGTGTATAAAGTGTACATATGACAAGCTGTGGTTTTACTGATGGTTTATGTGCCCGACGCATTAACATGTTAATGTTTCCACCGACTATGGAATGTCATTTTAGTCAGTATTAAATAAATAAACAAATATAAATAAACATAAAAAAATAAATATACCTATGAAATAACTCCTGAAAAAACTAAATAGGGCAATAATTATATAAATAAGTGTAAATCTAAATAAATAAGTCAATAAAGTTGAATAAATAAAAAGGTCTTCATTTAAAAAAACATTTATTTTTTTTAATGCCACATTTATTTCCATCTGTTATATGCAAATGAAGGTGGCAATGGAGGTTCAGGCCAGGTAGTTTAAGACAGGTGTTTAGTCTCCTGGCACCTCCGGCATCAACTCTCCGTGATTTATTGAGTTTCCTGATGGACATACTGCTTTACTTATGGCCAAAGTAACTGCTGTTAGCTATTTAGCTCAGTTAGCTGTGCTGCTGGGTGTCCTTTTTAAAAATAAAAACCAAAACTATATAGATTTCTATATTTATATTAACATTTATTGACTCATTTATTCATTTTAGGATTTGATTTGTAGCCATATATTTTTATGTATATATTTAATATTGACTAAAATGGCTTTCCATAACCGAGCAGCTTCAGATTACAGACATGAGAGCGGTATCTTCTCATCTAACTCTCAGCAAGGTTGAACTATTACCTTGACGTACTTTTTTGAGTTGAATATGAATCCTTTTTTCTGCATCTACATAAAAATGAATTTCAAACTACTTCCTATGTTTCTGTCCTGGCTCAACATTATAATGTGCTCGTCTTGGAGAAATGCATTTTTCCAATTTAATGAAAGGACTGTTACTTTCCTTTTCAGACATCATGTCTATTTCATAACATTTTGTGAGAGCGGGCTGTTTTTTTGTCTTACTTACTGACAAAATCCATTTTGAATCATCATTATGATATAATGATGAAAGGAATAACTTGAAAACAAAGCTACAAAGCCTGCCATTTGCTCAATTGTGTAGTTATAAAATGTGTAGTGGGTTCAAATGTGGCCTGCCATTAGGGTGAGCCAAACATGTAATAGTCTGTCAAAGAAAGGATGCTCTAAGTAAAATACAGCATGACAAAGCTAATAATTTTAATGTTTTCTGGATTTTAAGCGGAGTTGTAGAGTATCTCTATTGTGCAAACAATATGCTTGTATCCTCTCAGTTTTTAACTAAGCAAAGATTGAGTAGAAAAAAAAGTGGTTGTACCCTGAATTGAAGGTGAAAAACACAGAGAAAAAGCTGCCAGCGGTTCCATAAAGTGAAAAATCCATGAATACAAATTGGATTCCAGCTTAGTGGAACATTCGATATATGGTTAAGACATAAGGGATTTCAAATATTTCAATAAAATAAGCATTTTATTGTCATTACAATTTTCTTTGTTCTTTGTTGGCCTCTTGACTGTCACCGGGGGGATAATAAAATGAAATTATGCAAATATCTATCCTCTCTCCACTTTGAGGAAACTGAATTTGTGGTTGCTTTTTCCTTGACTGTGAGCTCAGGAAACAAACCTTCACATTGATCGAATAAATACCTGATATGCCACCCAGACCAGCATATGCCAGTATCATGCACTCGTCAGTCGCTCTAAGACTGCTTTTATGGATTGAGCCTTAACTCCATGACATAAATCTGGATAAGTCCTGCTGTAAGGCTGCCTATTAATCTATGCTCCACTCTCACAGTAACAAGATTATTTCAAGCCAGGGCTCTACTGGCGTAAAGCAGAGGAGACAGCCTGTGCATGCCTCACCCAAGGGTGCATTTTAATAGGCTTTCAAACTGCAGCGTAGTAGTGACATTGCTTGTCCTCTGGTTTTGAGTGTCTCTTTCACTGCTGTCAAGCCTCTGGTCACATCTTGTAACTTCAAGTACAGTTTGGTTTGGTGCCATATATCATTAGAGAACTCACTGTGTGTTCAGTTACCTGCAAGGTCCAAAAAGTTTGAGACGTCAAAGGTTGACTCTCATCGTGACGCTGCCCTAAAACTGAATTAATGACGTGATGTTATAGACCTGCAGTCACCTTTGGAAAGACTAGAGGTTGAGGGAGCTATTATAAATTATTGCAGAGTGACACCAGTCTTAATATTACGCTCATGAACTTCAGTAGGACGGGTTGTTAAATCTATACTTTCCTCTGTTAAACACTCTGTGGTTTAACTAGGCAGCTCTTCTCCATATCGACCTGAAGCTGGATTTTAACACATCACTTCACTCCCCTCAAATGAGAAACAAAGTAGAGAAAGTTTTTCTGTTTCTGCAAAATGGATGTAATTTAGATGCAAGTTGCAATAAGGCCCTGTCCATCCATATTACCTCCTCTTGATTGGCCAACAATTGACCCTACCTAAGCCCCACCCCTGTCAAATGTCTTTTTAGCTGTACTTTGATATGCTCTGTTGAAAAGACAACCAGCTAATCTACATCAATTGTTAGAAAGCTAATTAGCTTCAGTTAGGAGTGCAAGTTAAGATGCAACCATATATTTGTCACTTTTATCTTTCAACCATCTTCAAATATTGGTTGTCTTGATCATAGATGAGCCAAGCACATATGGTAAAAGTACAGTATAGGAGAAAGTTGACCGAGGCTTGCTCAACTGTCATTGGAGCAAAGAGAAAGAACGGGGCGGGACTTAGGAAGGGTCCCTTCAGGTTTGCTTCGGCTTTCCACTTTAAGGATAAGACTGGCAATATATCATTGTTTACAAATCCCATAATGAGACAAAAACAACTTGTTAGTTCTTCTTTCAATACTTTACGACTTCTGTACCCAATTTGTGGCCGACTGGTTCCTACTAAAGATGTAAATCTTTAAAAATGTTTAATGAATATAAACTGGAATTCCTTTAATCATTTTCTAAAACAGCAAAGCACTGCAAATAGTGTATTTGTTGGGGATTGTTGGGAACCGGTTAGCAGGATCAATTAATTGTTGGTTTTGGTCTTTTCATGAGATTTGTTGACAATCAGAAAATATAAACCAGCCATATCTTTTTATGTTTTTGTTTTGACTGTAGCTGGTGCTGCAGAAATGATATTGTCACAATGTGTACGCGGATCGATCATCTTTTATCCTTCTTTGAAAAGGATTTGTCTGAATTGTGTAAAATCCAATGTTCCTTGATTTTAATCTGAGACTATTTATGAAGTAACCTCTGCAATATTGTTAACATTTAATAAAGGACATAGAGAACAGTTAACTTTACAAGAAACAATTTCTTCTGCTTCACCAAAAGCTCTGCACTACTTCCTCATGTTTTAGACTCAAAACAGTGTATCTTTAATATGATGTGATATGACTTTGTAAATGTCTCATTCATGCTCTTGACACGACATTAAAAACCGCCGCTGAGATGCTGGCTCGTAACAAATACATCCACTAAAACCCCCTTTCAAAGTCACATTTGTTGTTTCAAAGCTGTATTAGTCATGATTTAGTGCCTGCATAGTACCATGGGAAAAGACAGAGAGGACTTACAGAGGAATACACATCACAATCTTTTAATGTGTTCCACATGTGGCATGAGGGAAAGCCATTACCCTAACTCAGGGAGAGCACGCTTTCATTCTGAATATAAAGTCTCAAGGCATGGGAACTTATTACTACACTGTTATACTAATGAGACTTTAATGACTCCGCTTAGATGGTATTCACTGTTTCTCAGCAGCAGCAGTCTGGCTAAGAGCTCATTTTAACATAAAGTTCTTCAATCTTGACTCGCGACTCAATTATACTCAAAGTTTGACCCATATGTTTCTGACAATAATCACTGCTGCAGCTTTGAATCCACTTTGAAGCTCTTTGAAATGATATTAGAGACGACGTTGAAACCAGAAATGCCACCACATGATCGTCTTTTGTCAACGCTGCTCTTTTCCACAGACAGAGAACGATCTGCGGGAGGTGTGGAACAAAACGGGGCATCAGGGGAATAAATGGAACCGAGCAGAGATCCCTCTGAGGAAGCTGAGGAACTTTGAGGTGATATTTGAGGGGATTCGCTCGAGGGACGTGAGTGGAGGTGCTGCTCTGGATGACCTGGAGTTCATAGACTGCGCTCCAAGTAGGTGATATGAACAGTACACAACTTTTGTAAGCAGAGTTAGTTCTTTTTGTAGGCTGGAACTAAATAAAATATGAAAAACAAGCTAAAACCGATGCTACATACAAAAAAAATACCCAAAAAACAAAAACATCCTTACTCTTCACCTAATCTTGGTCTGTTTACAAATACAAACTCATATTCCTGAAAAAAAAATTTTTTTTTTATCTCTTCTATGTATTACTATCTTGTGTGAACAAGACTTACGTGAAAGTAATTTTTCAAGAATGTGTGGGCTCAGTTTTTATATCATAGATAGACTGCTATTTCAATGAACACCTCTACAAAAAAAATACAGATTCAAAAAGAGGAATTAGGGGTTAAGTTTCTCTTTAAAGGATAGTTGGACAATTTTTATAAAATATGCTTATTTACCAAACGAGAAGATCAATACCACTCTCATAGCTGTGTGTTAATTTTGGCATTAAAGCAGGCGTTAAGCCTAGCTTAGCATAAAGACTGGAAACAGCTAGCTGTATACGACAGTCCAACCTGCCGCCTGTCAGCAGCTATAAAGCTCACTAGTTAACACAGAATATGTCATATAGCTGTTTTCCCCTGTTTCCAGTCTTTATGCTAAGCTAAGCTAACCGCTCTGTTGCCTTTAGCCTCATACTTAGTGTACAGATATGGTATCTATCTTTTCATTTAGCCAAAAAAGCAAGAGGTCAAACTATTTTTTAAGGGAATGTTATTCAGTCTGATCTTTTGATCGACATTTTTTTGGCCACCAGTAGGAAATGCCAAGAGAATGAGACTGAATCCAACCGACTCAGCTAATAAGTGATTTATAAGTACCGATATTTGAGGTGTGAAAAATGCAAGCAGGAGGGCAGAGAAGATGGGAAATTTCATTGTTCCAAAATGGAGCACTGGAGTGGAAAGCCAAGAATCTCACCACCTGGCAAAGTAATCACAGAGTCTCTGGTATTCAGCAAAACCTCTGCACACATAATAAGGTCGCTTTGTGCAGAGTGGCAGTGCAAATCTAACTTCTTGCTTCTTTAATTTAAAAGCAAATTTAATTTTGACCAAACTTTTGATAGTTTGGAAAAGTGTTCGTGCTTCATGAGACTCTCATTACCTGATTTATTGTCAGTCAGCTTTTCATACCAGCCCATATCTTACTTTAGCTTAAAAGTTATGAGAGTATCCTTAAACTCGTCTTTGAAGATTATTGAGCCCGTGAATTGACTCTTTGTAAGTGCGAGAATAAAATGTACGCTAACGATCCAAATCCAAGGTTTCATGCTATGATTACTTATTCAGGTGGTTTACCTGAAGTATCTGAACATTAAAAAGAGTTCAGACCATATTACATAATGTGGATTGAATTACATTAAACGTCTCTCTTGCTCTCCTCTGTCCTTGTTTTACCAAAGTGTATTTCCAATAATCTTCACAGGCGAGATATAAATATGCTGTGAAATTATTTTATGATCTTTTCAACCGATAGTTTGGGGGTATGAAATTTATTCACCACTGGCACACTCAGAATATGAACAGAAAAAGAGTGAGCTAGTGTGTCTTAGAGAGTTCAATTTTCTGTGCGATGACGCCGTTTGATGTTTATGTCCGAGACAGATGTTCCACATTAAACGTGACCTGGCACAAGGCTGGACACCATGTGGGATGGACATAAACACACTTACATAGAGAGGCACATAAGTACTGACCTACAATTGGAGCTCAAAACAGACTGAAAGGCGTCCATGCAAGAACTGTCAGTCCAAAACTAAATGACAGCCATCAACTTTAAATGTGTCCTAAATGGGTTTTCAGCTTATGCTATGATGGCATTATTAACCCAGCTGAACCTCTGGAATGAAGTTCAACTCTGTACTCACTTCACTCATCTTTTAATGTCTCTGCCTTTGAGTTTTTACAGAACACACACACACATAATGTAGTTATATGTGCTGTCTCTGCTCCACCTGATCTCTTTTCCTTCCTCTCTGTTCTGTCTCAAACAAGGCAGAGCTGAAAGGAAGGAGGCTTTGATTTCCCTGACAGGCCTTTGTCTGCTTTTGTTTACCGTCTTCTCCACCGCTCGTGTCCTTTGGTTCACAGAACAGGAAGGCTGTGTTTTAATAAAACAGTTCTTCATTGTAGCATTTTCCCTGCTGCTAGATTTGATTCATCTGAATGGAGAAAGGGGAGATAGTTTCCCGTCTGGTGGGTCAGTCCTAAAAAAAGATTAAATACCTGATGAAGATGATGAAGGTTTCTCCCTCAGATCTGTTCCTATGTTTGTCTGTTTGTGTGTTTCAGATGTTGTAGAGCCACTCAGTTGTCCTGCAGTCACAGACTTTGTGTGTCGCAGTGGCCACTGCATTGAGTCCCACCTGATGTGTGACAACAAGGCCGACTGTGCTGATGAATCAGATGAGATAGACTGTGGTGAGGAGAAATGAGAAATTGGGGAGTGAATCCATCTTATTATGGAGCAGAAAAAAACTACTTTCAACCCAGACTTCTCACACTTCTATCTCTCTCTCTGTCTCTGTCTCTGTCTCGTAGAACCCATGGAGCACTTTCCAGGAGCTTGCAATTTCAACTTGGATGAAAGCCAGTGGGAAGAGACCTGCAAGCTTTCTCAGGACACTGATGATGACTTTGATTGGAGGATCGGTCATCGGAGGGAGACACCAGGAACTGGACCTCACACTGACCACAGTGTTGGTCAGTACCGACTCTGCTGCCAGTCCTTTCTCTTAGACATTACATTTATATACAACGCAAGCTCCAAATTAAACTACATGCCCTGCAGAACAACAATATAAGCATTTTCTGCCTTTCAACACTGTTACAAATCACTGATGAAAAATAAATACGTTTTCTGATTTTATGCCACCGTGGTTACAGTTCGGTTAGATTCAGGCTCAAACAACACTGGGTATTGTTAGTGACACAACGTGGTCTTGGTTAAAAGAAACCAGGAGTGACTGTCAGTAGTAAATCTGCAGTCTCCGCTGGCAAAGTCCCACGTTTTGTTGCTCGTCCACTCCGACCTCCTCCCTCCCCAGACTCTAAAGCTCTATAATAACGCCACCCAACATCCTCCTTTGTTCCCCGTAGACAAGAGTAATAATTCATACTGCCACTAGACTAGACTAGCTTTGTCACTTAAACGTTAACATTTATTGTTCTTGGGATTTGCTGATGCTGTTGTTTTTCTTAGGAGGACAGTTGATATACTCCTAATTTTGCAACAGAAAATACTTTTTGAGAGATACATAATACCACCTGAATTAAGTTTTTTTATCAACATTTTTAATTAAACATACTACAAGGAGTTTTTTTAAAAGGTTTATGAAACCGTCTCAGTTTAGTACTGATAACTCTGTATGACCAACATAAACAAACAAGACCTTAGCCGAGAAGATTGGCTATTTCTATATAGTTATTCTTAACTTAACCTAACTTAAGTTAAGAAACCTAACTTAACTACGAGGCAGTGGAAACACTACCGCTTTTGTCCACAGGGGGCACAAGAGTCAACACCAAATGAAAGTTTCTTGTAGCTGCGTTAATGTATCTGATTATTGGCAAAATCAGAGCAACTAAAGTGTGATTAACATGTATTGTGGTTATTTTAAGACTTTCACAGCACTACTGAGAAGTCAAAAGTGACATGAGGCAAGAGATACAACAAATTTAGGTTTCCTAAACCTTAACCAACGTGCTTTTGTTCTCTAAATCTAACCACTGCACATAAATATACAAGTGTGGCTTCAGAAAGGATTTTGATTGAAGTTTGTGAGTATTTCTAACCTTTTACCTCTTTATCATGACAGAATGAGCACTTGACGCTAAGGATCCTGTTTATATTCAAAACTCACAGCATGTGTTTGCTTTCTGCCTTGTTTTTTTGGTAAAAGATTAATAATGTTGTCAAAAAAACCTTTCTCAAAATTAAGAACAAACAACGTCCTGCGTCCTCCTGACATCCTCCATGTTTTCAGCTTACAGGCAGCTCAGTGCAGCGCCTTTGTAATTACAACCTGACAGCTGGGGAATTGGAGCCTCCGACAGGCATGTGAAGGCAGGGTTAATAATACATCCTGATCAATGTCAGCCTGAGTCAAACTGAGCTTAACAGCATTGGATTTGTTGTTTATCTTGTGTACATTTATGCAGCTGCATCAAAACATAATTTCTAACTCTGAGTAGAGTATGAATCACCTCATTGGTGCTAAGGTTACGCTTACACTCATCTATATTGTGTAAACCTTAATTTCAACGTGAATTATTGTTTTGTTCACTGGCTGTCAGTATTTCTTCTATTTGTTGATGCTGCTTATTTTTCCAGGGCTTGAACCTTGATGATCAAACAATAGCTGCATGAAAATAATGAAAATTCTAATTACAGTTTAGTGTAGTAGACATTGATTTGAGAGGAAAGTTTACAGTTTGCTTTACTTCACAGAGAGGAACAAGTAATGTAGATCCACATCAACCTGAATCCATTAAGAGTAGTAACATGTATGGCTAAAACATTTAGTTGATTAAAGCAACACGATGTAAGATTTGGTATTTGTTGCAGTTTCAGAGTGCAGTACCACTTACCGTCATAAATATGGATATCTGTACATATTTGTATTTGTTATGATTATGTTGCCTTACTTTAGCAACTATTAGAGCTTTCTGTTCATCAGGATATGTGTTTACGTACAGAGGTAAAAGCAGAAAACATTTATGATCCATATTCATTGACATAGTTGGTGGTGTGTGACTTACTGCCGTAAAGCGGTACGCTCTTCTACCTGACCTGGAGACCAAAGTTACATAGTGCAAGAACAGACGTATGGCCATTCACTCTATTACAAGTCAGCATAGCATCAAAAGGAGTTTGAAGCTGTTATTTTAAGGTAGAAAAGGTACATAATGGGGCTTTAAATAATTAATTCATTGACAGAAAATCAACATTTGCTTCTTTCTTGTTGCTCTCTTCTATATTGTTGTGAAATTATGAATTAAACTGTTAGTCTTAAACTTAATAATTAGACACAGTGAAACTGTGATACACATTTTACTTTTTTCTGACACTCTTTCGAACAAGTCATCAGTTTATTGTAAAAACAATCGCCAGCTCAATCTTATATATATATTATATATAAATAATCGCTAGTTCCAGCCCTAGTTAGATTATTTCAAGATACACGTGTGATCTATGGTATGTTTTTTGAGCAGGAGTTTCTCTGGGAGCACTGATGTTGTAGAGGTGATGTTGCACTGGAGGACCAAGTCAGTACATCGCCTAACATATCTTGTAGATTGACCATAAACTTGAGTACACTTGGTAACATTGCACTCAGTGAACTGTCCTAATCTACCATGTAGCTCTAATGCTTCCTTGAACTGGCTCTTACTGAGTTCACACCCACTTCTCATTGGACAGTTGAGTTTATTGATCCAAGAGATGAATCCAGACGGTGTGTCATAGAGTGAACTTATGATCTCACGCCAGAGCAGATCAATAAACCATCTGTAACACAAGGACACAAAGAGGTGCACATGACATCACTTAGTTGCATTATCAGATGATGATAACATCTGGATGACGGACAAACATGTGTGTACACAGGAAACAGCTTTTATCTGAATGAATGACAGATTTTTATTTTCTGAGTCATAGGGAGGAATCCAGTATTGGGGAGTGGGACCGGGGTTTGCTGTGCGCTGAGGATTTGTGATGGCCTTAAATCCCCTTTAACTCATGTGGAAAACTCCCACTTTGTCCTGGCCTCACACAGATGCTGTCTCATCTGAGAACCCAGCCGAGCCGAAGAAGCTCTCTGCAGCTTTTGCCTGCAGGGCTGCAACGTTTCACAACAGCACAAATACTTTCTTCTTTCCAAATATCATGTATGTTGGATCCAACAGAAGAAAGTTATTTCTTTTCCTCTGTAAAGCTGAAATTGGAAGGTTGAGATGAGTCTAGCTGCGGATATTATTTCACCGCACAAGTGCTGTCATTCATCACACTGAAATGTGACTCATAAATGAATACAAATGTATTTTTTTTTATATGCAAAGGTGGTGGAAGGAACTTCCTCTTCATACACTCAGCCACTCAGAGGGAGGGTGACGTTGCCAGGGTGACAACCAGGAATCCATTTCCAGCCAGCATCGGCCAGTGTCACCTCCGCTTCTGGTTCTACATGTATGGCTCTGACAGGATGGGAACGCTGAAGGTGATTTGATATGAGTTACATCTCCATAAATAATTTATAAAAAATAAATAAAGTATTTTAAGTGTTGTGTCAGACATCTACCTTGCAAACTTGTTTTTTAAATATTGTTATTTGCTGTCAGATGATCCATCACAGTCAACCTGAAGGCTTAATATGGCTTTGTCAGAACATTTTCTTTTCTATTTTACTGTGCCGCTCACTACATTAGACTCTGCTTACTGTCAATCTCCTGATACTCACGGGGAGAAATGAAAGTCTCCCTGTCAGGAAATAATCCATCAAATCATGTCACCTTGCAAACTTGATTACCATATCCATCTTTTCATGTCTTTTTTAGGTGTTTTTGTTTGCTGGGTTAATTTCAAAACAACACACAATATGCAAACGTTAAGAAAACAAACTAATTGGGTATGATGTGCACGGAAAATATGGCAAAAACTACACGTAGTCCTAGATAAGATATTCACAAATCACTTAAAATGGCACCAGGGTTAAACTAATTAAACAACATGTCAACTGCAGTAAATTATTTAAAAGATTCTTAAAAAACTTTACTTAATGTGTAGAAGTACGTGGAAATACAAAGAGCAATATTAAAAAATAAATCTGTATCCGAACGTTGTTTATAATGAGAGAAAATAATCATGACTTGAGAGGAATGTGCATGCTTTAAAAGGATGAAAGGATGAAGACTAACGTCAAGACAAAAGTCTGTGAAGGCTTAGTGGTGTTTTTAGCTAACATGCTCACAGTAACAGGCTGATGTTAAGCTCGTACAAGGTTTTCCACGTTCACCATCTTAGTCTTAGCATGCTAACCTAATTAGGTCTTAAGACAAAGTGCAGCTGAGGCTGATGGGAATGTCCTTAGTTTTGCAAGTAGTCGGTCATAAATCAAAGTATTGGAAAAACTGACGTGATAATGGCTTTAAAAGTCAGGTTTGCTGGTGAAATTGAATCAATAAATGCATGATCAGACTGGCCTGGTACCACAAATATGATAGGAATATTGTTATTACAGCCCAGACCTTCTTGGTGTGCAGAAAATTATTTTATGTTGTGTTATTTGGGTTTATTGTTTTGTAATTTTGTGAAGTGATTGAATAATTTGTTCTGTTTTTTCACTCCCAGACCAAAATAAAATGTGATTTTACTGATAAAAACAGCGTCATTTTATGTCACCCATGTTTTTATATGCCATCTCTGTGCAGGTCTACACTGTTGGACCCACTGGCACCAGCCTGCTGATGTGGGCAACCACTGGAAACCACGGTAACCAGTGGACATACGCTAATGTCATCCTGTCCAACCCAGCACCTTTCAGAGTGACCTTCCAGGCAGAGGTGGGCGGAGACATGTGGACAGACATTGCCTTGGATGACATTTCCTACACTGCGCAGTGTTTGATAGAAGGTAAAGTTTTAGCTTTAGTTTATTTTTGTCCTCGTAGTAATATTTGGTTTCTTGTTTTTTCCTCTTTTCAGCGCTGTGCTCATTTTTCATGCCAGTTCCTGCAATTTTCACCTTCTCCCATTTCTTCTTTTTCCACATTTTCTGTCCACCGACGTCCATGCTCCTCTACTCCTTTTCCATGTAAATTGCGTGTACCCTCGGGGAGAGTGTAGTGAGTTAATGGAGCCTGTTGCCCTGTAGGTCCATATAAATTCACTGTGGAGACTGGGTCAGTGTCGAGGGACGGCACAGAGGGCAATGGGGGGGAAAAGCAATTACATTTGAATTGTGTTGTTTCCTCACTCCCACCCCAATGTTCTCCTTTCACCCCTGAATCACTTCTTCTGACGACTTTCTGAAGAAGCATCTGGTTTTTTTTTCACTGTGTCTTAAAACAATCCTCTGAGATTTTCTTGCTGAAGGATGCTGACAGTGTGTGAACTAACATGGATGAAAGAGGATTTAAGGTGTGTTAAGCTCTCTGCATCAATGTGTAATTATGTGCATGTATCTTCTCTGTGATATGCCACCTCAGGACCGGTAACTCCCCAGCCTCTGACCTGCGCCGTGGACCAGTACCAGTGTACGTACTCCTTCCAGTGTATCCCAGAGAGTTGGAGGTGTGATGGAGAGCTGGACTGCGCCGACCAGTCTGACGAAGAGTTTTGTCCCACTGTGGTTCCCGGTACTGTTCCTCCTCAGGATCACTGTCCTATTGGACATTACCAGTGTTTGAATGATCTCTGCCTGCCCTCCATATTGCGCTGTGACGGCGTCCCAGACTGCCCCGATGGGGAGGATGAATACAGCTGCCGTAAGTATATGTGTGTGTCTGTATCTGTGTTGGGTTTTTGACTGGTAGAGAAAGCAAACACTTTACAAGTATACAATCAATCAACATAGGGACCAACAGTATATAAAAATGTGAAAGATCTTTATCAGATTTTTGTGAATTCCCTCATATGTGGATGGTTCAGACTAAGTTGGTTTTCATTATATAACATACTTCCTCACTTACAGCGGTAACCATGCAGATACCATACAGCCCAATTTATACAGTATGTTCGTATCAATTTATATGTAAATCTGGACGAATATAGTATATATATATATTTTATTTATTTATTTATTATTATTTGGGTTACCAAACCATTCAAGCACAGCTCAGTGATACTGGTTTATGTCCTAGTATTGCATTTAAAATTGCTTTTTCAACCATCTGCTTTATTGTGACTTTTTTTGGGTTTAATCCTCTCCTCCCTGACCCTGAATTTACATCCTGTATTTGGACCCAACTGTTTCTAAATCTCAATTGTCCCATTACTTTTACACTTATTTACCTATTTATGTTTTGAAATGTGTTCTTACAAAGAAATGTATTAACTCAACGTCATTCATTTATTGGTTAAGACCAGCAGGCTTATAGTACCAAAAAACTTGCAGATTTTTCTGTTTAGGAATCAGTTTTCCTGGTTTATATATAATTTGTGGTATGCTCATAGTGATCTGTAACCTGTTGAGCCATCTGGGAAGCCCTCACTGGAAAAAGGCAGGCACTTCCAAAACAATACTTGGTTGATTGGATGAACCATCCATCACGGCCAATATCAGAACAATAAACCATAAAACATACTCCTATTCCTTACCGAAACCAGTCGGGAGAAGAGTGAGAAAGAAAGAAAAGCCTTCAGTGTGGTTCTTTATTCTTCTTCTTTCTTTATTCATAAGTTCTGATATAACTTATGCGAGCAGCATCTACGCTAATAGCAGCTGTCGGTCACTTCTCACACACATTGTCACATACACCTAGGGTTAAAACTAGGTTAAGTGACACCTCCCAAACCCAGAGCTTTCCCCTCTACATAGTCCCCTGTCTTGTCTTTTTCCACCAGCTCTGCTGCAGTGCGAGCTGGGAGAACTGGTGTGTGAAGGTTCACCTGGTTGTATCCCACTTCAGAAGCGCTGTGACCACTCTGCCGACTGTCTGCCATTTCACTCGGATGAGTCCAGCTGCCATGGTAACATGTTTTTACTTACCTTCTCCTTTCAAGCTTTTTTTTTTTTGCTGTTAACCGTAGCCCATTTTATGATTCCCCGACCTTGAAGCTCAGATGTGTCCTCTGCCTCAGCATAGTTGGATGTCCATCTGTGCGTTTGTCTTTTGATCATACAGTTCATGGAGTTTTCACTTTCATTCGTGGCTGTATGTTTTTAATCATATTCTTTTAATGCTTTGACGTCAATTATTGTGACATTTAGTTCAAGTATGGCTCTCTGTCTCGCTAAAAAAGGCCTTCAAGCTGGCTGACACGCTGTCTTTCCTCCATCTGTTTAGGAAAAAAAACAAATGCATAGATTTAGCTATTTATATTTACTGTATATCATACTCTCGTGAGTCACCAGTCAGTTTTGACTCAAGCGTTGCCAAAACTTCATTCAGGTCTGCTCATTTCCAGTCTTAGCAGTGACTCCCAGGACATTTTCAAGTCTGGCTGTTTAGTCTTCAAAGCACACCTCAACGGTTTCTGCGAGCTGCCAAAATCCATTAAAACCTCTGCTTTCCTGCGTTTCTCAGGAATAGACCAAACCCCACATTTAGCTTGCATTCACTGCCAAGCCACAGTCACTTTATCAAGCCAGAACAGAGCTTCAGGGTCTCATAATGGTGTTTCAAACATGATGATTATTTAACAGGCAGCCCCGATAACCCTCACACAACCTATGGAGGGAAAAGTATTTGTCATCAGATGTACAGGATGGAGGAAGATGTAGTAAAGTGGCTGACGCTCTTTGTAAAGGTTAATGGATGATGCCCCCCCGGCAACATTATTCACTGATTTCATGTTCTGATGTCAAGTCAGAAACATGCATCAGTGTACATCTGTTTCCTGTCAGGAAAAGAGAGAAATGGATGGTGGCAGGTTACGGGGGAAAGAGAGCAGAAGAAAAGCTATGGAGGATCTTATTTTTGGTGTATTTCTTTAATAAGATATTCAGTCATGAAGTCAGATTCTTTCGTATGATTTGCAGATTGTCCTCGGCTGTACTGCCTGGATCACGGCTCATGCCATGTGGAGAGACACGGGCCTGTTTGCATGTAAGCTGAACTCCACCCTCACACAGATAAACACACATTCACAAGCACACACCTACACACTCCTAAACACGCACAAACAACGATAAGTATCATGTTTGTTCTTCGCACTTCTCCTCCCATCCTTTATCTCTCTTTGTGAGACTTAAAACATGGAAATCCCATCAGTCTTGTTTCTTTCCTTGGAAAAGACACGCTCCATGAAGCATGTGGGAATCTGCTTATCCCCCACAGCTTAACCAAGGCGGTTCTGCCTTCATTTATCCAGTGTTTCATGGGAATCTCTGATGGATTCTCCTGGTCAATATTTAAACACGGCTCCTACTACCAATGGTCTTAGTGGGTAGACCACAAAAAACTCCTGCATCAGATAAATCTGCCAAGGGGCCGTCATGTTGGCATAGGCAAAACACATTCAAAACAGACATTACAATCACTCTGCTGGAGTTTTTTTTTTTTAGGAAGCTCATGAATCTAGTTGTCTGCATCAGCAGCTTGGAATGTCTGCAACGAGATATTTCATTATAAAAGTAAGAATGCAATTACAAGACTTGCTGCTGGATCTGCTAACATCATTATGCTCCAGTGAATCCTCAATTAGAGATTCACATTTCTCCGTCCTCGTGCCAGGAGGTTGCTTTTTGCACAGACTGGATGTGAATTGTGCGGCAGACAAGATATTTGTTTACTAAAGTCACATAACTGACTGCAGAGTGTGTCCACAATGCAAGCGGAGTGTCATATTATTCAAAATGCAATCCCACTGAAAATGCTGGAACAAGAACAGACTTTTAAAAACCAACTCAGTTAAATTGGAAGCTTTTTCATTGTCTGCTACAGCACACATATCTGCTCTGTGAGTCCCCTCCTGTGCTCTTCTTTGAGAAAATTACCGTACCCAAAAAGGGGAGCTTAATTTTAAACCATATTTGCATAAAGCAGTAACATTACAGGAGCACGGTCACACTGATCCAGACAACAGCCTGCTACACAAGAGCAATAGACTTTGAACAATTAGCTTCCCTGCCAACGTCTCTTTCTTATCTCACTTACAAACTTGGACACCACATCTTTTCTTGCACTTTATCTTGATGGAGGTAAATGTGCATGCAAAAGTGCACTGCTAACGTCAGCTGGGAGGCTAATTGGCTAGTGAAACACTATGTAAATGTACCTGCAAAAGTCAGTTTGGTTTAGATGCTGGTGTGGTGTCTTCAAACTACTGCTAGCAGCACACTGGCTTATGAGCTACAAGTTTGTTTACTCTGCCCTGATGCCTGTAACGAAGCTCAGCCTGCCAGCTGCTGTCAATCAAACACGCCTCTGCCACTGAGATTTTGCTGAAAGACTTTTTTCTACAGACAATAAATTAGAAAAAAAAAACAAACACTGACACTGTCTTCCTGACTAAATGTGATTTCAGATTCACTTTTAAAAACTGTGTCTGCAGTGTGAAGATATCCCACAGCTGTATGTGGCAGAAATGCTGCCTCTACCTCCCTCATTCTCTCACTCAGCCTCCAAGGGTTTGATTCCCCTTTTTATTCATCCCCCTGTCCAACATTCCCCACTGCCTCCTCTCATTATGTAACAGTGTGGTATGGAGCTCCTGTAGCTGTTCAAGCAGAACCCGAGGCCAGCATTGGAGGGCACCTCTGGCTCAGTATTTGTATCACGTTCCTCCACTCCGCTGAGCAGGATCCACCGGGGAACCAGGCCAAGGACCGCCCACTGCCATGGCCAGACCGTCACACAATATATACCCTGACCCCCTCTGAATTATAATGACACAGTCTGGCTTCCCTGAGAGCAGTGTGTTTTGCATTAGAAGGTCAATGTTGCTCCAAAATCAAGCTGATACTGAACAGATGTTGACTTGGAGCGGAGTCTCCGTTTAGGAGAAGAAGAACTTTCTTTTCCAAAGATGCAGCTCACCAGACAGCAAACTGCAATTAGTCTGTGTTTCCATGCTGGATTTCCAGCAGATAAATCTTGCACCATTTGTCATGATAGCAATGTTTTTTTAAATGCTGTGAGGGAATATGTCTGTATGTGTACAAAAGAGATTGTGAATTATGTTCTTTATCTTTGTTAGTACTTTATTTTGTTTTACTTTTAGCGTTTTACCAGGCCATATTTTTCTAACTGTCAAATCCCAGTGCATTAGTACAGTATGTTTAGGAGGAAAGTACACACACAAATAGGATTACAAATTAGTGTGAGGGCTGATCTTTAGCATATTTATTGTCCCACTAATAAACTACCAGATACTTACGGTTAATTGCACAGGATTCGAGCCAGTTTTAAAACACAAACACCATGTGCTGCAATTGAGAGTGTGTGAAAAATAGTTTGCACTTGAGTAGCAAAGTCTAAATAGATTGCTTAAAGTAATAGATAAATGGTTGAAAGGTCCAGCTTCTGCCACCCGATAGCAAGGCACTGTGGTTTTTACACATAGTTGTTGTAGTTGTTGGCATAAAAAAGATAGATAGATCATCACCAGATTTATCCTTATTTTTACTGGTTATATGTCTGTTTTCTTCGTTTTATTGGTTTTTCAGTCACCTGTAAAGTAATTTAAACTTTGTCGTACAAATCAGGTTTGATTGATGCATTTATTGGGACATTTTGCAGCATGTTGTCAGGGTCATAACTTTGTACTGTTTCTTGGTATCTGATCACAGCTGTTATCCAGGATGGACAGGCAACCGTTGCCATGTGAAGGAGAAACCACCTCTCTCAACCTCATCTCCTAAACCAGAGGACACACAGCTGGGTAATAAAGAAACTCAAATCCCTGTTCCTCTCTATTAAACTGTCTCACCTGAATTTATTTACTGTATCCTTGCATTCCCTGTTAATGTCTCTGCAGTTCATTAAAGGTAGTTCTTTATGCTTTATATGCCTCACTCTTATTTAGATGCTGTGTATGTTGGCATCGCCATCGGCCTGCTGCTGCTCGTACTTGGAGTTGCTGTCGGCTTCCTGGCATTACTCAAGAAAAGATGCTGCTTAATGTGAGTTCTGGTTGCGATAATCACAGCGTTTCTCCTTTTTACCGATGATGATGTTGGTGATGATGAGTGCGTTTTCTTTGCTGGTTTCACAGAAAGCCCAACCCGATGGACTACGGGGTGATGGATAACCCAGGCTTTGACTGGAGAGCAGAGGTCAGCGCACAGAAATGTCCAATCAATCATCAGCGATATCTGCTCGGGCAACATTAGGTTTCTCGGCTATACAAATCTAATTTTTCTGCCATTCGCCTCACATTTATTCAATAATTGAATCTAACATTAGAGGAGGTCAGAAGGTGATCGCCAAGCCTTTCTGCTAGATTACATTTTTGATTTAGGATTATTGATTTTGAGGTTTATGTGTATATTTGTGTTTTTCTGAGTGCGTTTTACACTGTAGTGCATATACAGCCAGTAGGCACAATAACTGAACCATATAATCTGATCAAATGCAACACCATAAGCTACGGTGCCAAAAATAGCCAGTTTAATCAACAGTCTTACAAAAATGTGACATGATGAGAAGCTTTAGTAAATAGCAAGGCTTTTAGACCTTAAAGGATCAGTGTGAAGGATTTAGAGGCATCCAGCAGTGAGGATGCACATTGTTTTTTAGATTTTTGTGACCTTTGTCATATAATACAAGGCGACGAGAAACATAAACAATCAACAGGTCCGCCATGAGTTGTGATGTGATGCCTGTTTGGCACAACGTGACTGGTTGAAGCCTTCATTTGCAGAAAAATCCTCAGAAAAATCTACCTTGATCCAAAAAAAAGAATGTCACTTTTTGACTGTATAATATTCACATCCTTAAGTCCCCCATGTGTAATGAAAACATCAATATTATATGCTATTTCTGCCAATAGAGCCTCTTAAATGTTAAACACTGGACCTTTGTACCAGTACAACAATGAAAAAAAGGAAACTCCTGCGTTCAGAACCATAAGAAAGTAAAAGTATCTTTAATAATGTATGTTATTTTATAATCTTATAACATTTTGTTCATGTCAAATCTTAATCTGAAAAGATATAATCACAGCTGTCAAATACATGTAGTGGAGTAGTACAATATTTCCCTCTGTGATGTAGTAGATGTAGTAGAATATAAAGTAAAGTACCTCAAAATTATACTGAGTACAGTACTTGAGTAAATATATTGAGTTACAGTCCACCATTACACAGGTGTACAGCTATTGTGTCCACCCACTGTTTGCTTTCTGTCTCTGCTGTTATTCCTCCTCTTACTGACACAATCACAGTTGTTCCATTTGGATAATGGCTCTCGTGTGTGTGTGTGTGTGTGTGTGTGTGTGTGTGTGTGTGTGTGTGGCGTTTATGAGTGTGTGTTTCCAAAAATGACAAAACGACTGAGTTGTGTGTCCCAGCACACACACATACACATACATTTCTATCTGTGTGGGTGTGCAGCGAGTGTCATTCAGTAATAAAAGTGAGAGTGATGTTGAGAGCCACAATGACTCTGATGATAGAGATTATTATAGATTTAATGGTGCTGATAGAGTGTGTTTAATGCAGTAGTAGTGGATGAAATGTACTGTTATGTTACTGTTGATGTTACTATAAGACAAAATATTATAGAAATATATGTTTTTTCCAGCAGGTGCCATATTCCCAAGTTCACGCACCCATCATATACAGTATAATGTATTTCCATATATTCTATATCTGTGTTGGTATGTCTGTACATGTTTGCTTTCATGTGGCTGCCAGTGAGGACGCGGCTATAAATAGAGAGGTGTAGGTGTGAACTGGTATCTCCTCAACCCAGACAGATCCGCTTCAACGCTAAATCGAGCAGCGGAAAGAGTGTGTGATTATTCCACACACGATGATGTAATGTTTTTTATGAAGGTTAGAGGTGTAATTATGGACGCATAACAGGTCAATTTGATTTTAATTGCGCCTGCATTTCATGCACTCTCACACATCATTTCATCTCATCTAATTTTAAGCCAGTGTACATGATTTTCTTTCCCTCAGCACCCGTCCCTCCACGAAAGGCCAGGCGGGTGTCCCAGACTTAACCCCAGGAGGAGTGATGGTCGGGGGCTTTCCATCAGTGTCTACCCCTGGAGGAAGGAGGCGGAGGTAAGGTGTCTCGTCTTAGCCTCTGGGGCTTTACTCTAATTATCTGTGCAGAAGTCAGTGACTTGATGTATGTCTCTTTGTGTGTTTTCATCCACAGCAGGGTTCAGCCTGGAAAGATGCCAAGCTGTCCTTCGCCAACCCGCTGTACAATTACCCCCCTGATGCTTATAGTGCTGACTGCAAAAGCTCTGCAGCATAAAAACAATGGACCTTACATATCGACACTGGAGTGCATGTGGGTCAAACAGTGTGTGCACATACTTGATCAGTTTGTCTTGACCTGCAGAGGAGCCAAGTTTAAACAACGTAAAGAGGAAGAAAGTTTAGATACATTGCAAGGAAGTATCTGAATGTCAGTTCTGATACACTGCTGTTGCTGTTTGATTGACAACTAAATAATCAGCTCATCATATTAATGATGTGTTACCCCCCGCAACCCATCTGCCACTAAAAGGGAAGCACACTAATCCATGACTGAAACAAATTGTCTCTATATAAATACCAATAAAGGTAGTTTAAAAAGTAAAGAGGTGAACAGTTTCTGCAGGAGTTCTGCTTTATGCAACACTACGATTTTATAAGTTAAGATGATAATGTCAATTAATGATCAATCAGATGAACTTGGATCACTATAAATTACAATCAATCAATCCGCATTTCTTCTCTTGTTGTTTAAGCTTCCAAAAAATGTGATAAAAGATTTAAAAAACACTGTTTTAGGGAGGAAAACCTTTATAATTCACATTTTTGGGAAATACGCCTATTTGTTTTCTTAGTTTAGCATAAAGACCGGAGGAAAGGGGAAACAGCTCATACTAGCACCTCTAAAACTCACAAAATAAAACTTTTTTGTTTAATCCGTACAAAAACCAAATTAAAACAACTCTTACTGTTTTACAGGCTGTTGTATGAGAGACTATTTCTTGGACGGGAGCAGTAACTTCCTGGAGATGTTTCGATGTTTTCCAGTCTTTATTTCAGACTATTCCTTTACATAGTTGAAGATATTGGGGGAGATAATGAAATAAATTGCCCATTTTTACATAGAAAAAAGGTTAAATCTCAAAATCCAGCAGTACATGCGTCACAATGGGCATTAGAACAAATTAGTCCATTTTGTAATACAGTCAGTGTAGTGTTAGTGCTGCAGTACTTTAACTTGCAGAAATGGTTGTGGGTGCCTCGTGCATGGTGATTAAAGGTTTTCTTTAGTGCTGGCAAAAGCAGAAAACATCCAGTTCATGGAACTGAAAGGCTCGACTGAACACACAGAGCCTCAGAATGGAGTCCTGGCTTCATTAGTGATCCTTTCTAATCCCCACAAGTGCAAATAAAATAGTTTGCCCCTGTTTTATTTGCAAATTAAAATCCATTACAAGTCAGAGTCCTGTGTTTGTGTGTGTGTGTGTGTGTGTGTGTGTGTGTGTGTGTGAGCTGACTCTCTTGTATTAACCAGCATGGAGCAGATGGGATCATAAACAGCACAGTTAAACCAGTCTGTTATAAATTTCACGAGGGTTCAGTCATGGCTCCTCTCAGCTGACATGCCAGCATAAATGTCCTCCTCGTATTTGACAGTCAACGCGATGATTTAAAAGATCAGGCCTTGTTCTGAATAGAGAGCAGCCTCCTTCTCAGCATCGTAGTGATGATATTTCTCTTTAAAATATGCTTATCTGCTTTCTTGCAAAGAGTAATGTGAGAAGATTGATGCCACTCACTTATCTATCTGTCAAATATGAAGCTATATATCTAGCTTTGGGTTAGCTTAGCATAAAACCTGAAAAATGGCTGCCTTTATCGGTACCTCTAAAGCTCTAACTTTACATTTAGAAACAAGAGTGGTATTGATCGTCTCAGTAAATAAATGCATTTCCCAGAATGTCTTAAGTATTTCTTTATAATCATGTTAGGCAATACAATTATATCCGGTCTTCTGTTGTTGCAGCGGACTGGATCTGTGCAGGGTCAAACTTACACTGAATCGATAGAGGTCACACTGTTGCTCTGTCAGTGTATTAACACGGATATCTTAGACTGCATGTACTGAATTTGGATGAAACCAATAAAAATATAATGTGATTAGCATTTTATTTTATCCCCTAGATTAGTACTGACCCATAATTCAATGTTGACATGTCATGGGAGTAAAAGCAAAGGTGTAAATATAAGATTAATGATGAGTCCTGATATTGTGCATGAAGGCTTACTGGGACACTTGAGTGGAGCTTTCATTAATGTTATTAGTAAAACATGTGTTTAGCCTACTGTGATTAATTAAATAATAATCTTATTAGATACAGGTAGGAACACAAACATAAAAAAAAATACATTTCCTTTCTTTGGCCTGTTTTTTTTTATGGTACTTCTGGCTTTTACAGGGAGTTGGTGCAATGATAAACCGATGCAGTCTCAATCCCATTTATTATAAATGTCAGGTTAACTTGGTTCTGAGAGCCTCCACTTCATCAAAAACACATCAAAATACTCCCATTCCTTCATATTGGTCCAAGTTCAAGTTATGAATCCTTAATTTTTAGGCTGTGGATGAACGCAATCTCCAGTGTCATTACTGTTTAGTGTCGTTCTCCATCACTCGAGAGTCTCTGCTGAGTCTGTAGGTGGATTCTGGGTCAGAGATTTATCAGAGGGCCACTGGATCAATTTCAGCCTTTGAGCTGCTCCAACTGTTTTATTTTTTGTGCCCTCGCCTTATATTGGCTCACTACCTTTTTCCTCTGACATTGTGCCCTCCAAAGCTAAAAAGAAACTACATATGGGGACAGCCCATTGTTCAAAAAACCCCACTGGTCGACAATGGAAAAATATCCCATTGGACCGCCAAAGACAAAAGCCCATTGCTCCAAAGGTCCATTTTATTCTAAATATCTGATCAGAATCTGATTTTGACCTTTTATTATTAAAGTATTATGACATAGAAATGTAATTTCCATGAAAACAGAATGTAAAATTGCCACAGAAAGTGAAAAAACAACTAGAAAACTAAGATTAAAGTAGGAGATTTGGCTACAAGAGTAACAACATTTGACATATTATTTTCCATAATATGTAAAATATCCATTTTGATCAACAATGGCATTCAATTTATTATCCTGCCAACGGTAACTAGCTAGAACAGAGAAGCAGTAACTGCCATCACAACCAAAGTTAATGCAATTTGGTGTTGTTAAGCTACTTTTAAATCACATATATTAATGTACTGAATTACAATCCATTGGTTTTAATATAGTGTAAATATTATCAGTAGCCAAAAAGACAGAAAAAAGGGATGTAGATAAGTGTCAGAGAGAGATCCAAGGGGACGCTAGCTGGACATAGTTATCCTGATCTAAAGCTAAAACCTCATTGATTCCTCTCTAACTATAATCTGTACCAATTTTAATGAACCAACATTTGAGTAAAACCAGTTTGTTATTTTACACAATGACTGAATACATCACTAACTGCCCTCTCAGCTTTTAAGTCTACAATGATGATAAATGTATTATTGAGTTCAATATACTGTACATAGACAGACATTTAATCCGTATTGACTCTAACTGTGGACTGTAGATGATCAAAATAAACTCATTTCAAATGAACAAGAATGTTTACTAAGTTTTTTAAATCTTATGTAAAAAGTTGTAAAGGTAAAAGTTGTTACCCAGGTTCTTAATCGGTCCTCCGTCAACCCACTCAGCTTATTTATCATGTAAATAAATCATGTAAATACTGACTGAAATGATAATAATTCCGACTTTTGTATTACAAAGTTATTTGAATCACAATAGCTGGAAGTGGTCTGGTCTGGTTTTATCATTGGTACCATTATTAACAACTGCAAAGCCAACAATTCAACAAAAGGGCACCTCTCTGACTCCCTTTGTGAATCACCAAAAACACACACTCAGCCTTTTCACGGCCTCGACGTCAGTGTTTGTTTGTTTCACCCCTGTGACATTTGACCTAACAAAACTACAATCAATAGCAATCAATGACACAAAACAGCTTTTTCCACTAACACCTCACACTTGGCCCGCCTCGCTTTGCACTCACGCTCACATGATGGCCCCGCTGACTGAGAATGTGCAGCTATCAATGTTTTTTTTTTTCTGGTAGCTTCGTCATTCGTTGTTGTTGAATAGCGCGCGGGAGAGCTGCCACACGCCACCGGCCTTTGTCCTGGTGCTGTTGGTAAAGCAACGTTAGTCAGCTTTTCTCACCGGAGCTTTTGTTTGTCACAGTTTTGTTAATCACAGAGCAGAGAGTCCATCTAAAGGTCACTGTATCGTTTGTGCTCCGAGAGGTTCCTGTAATGAACACGCTTCCTGAAGAGCAGGGCGATGACAGCCTTTAAGGGGCTCCCCCTGTCAAAAATAACCCTTGACTCTTGCTTAATTTACATAACTACTCAGCTGAGTCCTCTCCCATCCCGGGCTGTCAACCATTTTTTACAGCATTCAGCCCAATTTCTTCAGCAGGGAACCAGCGCAGTCAGGTCAAGGTGAAATTTCACCCTTTTTCCTTGTAATGATAGCTCAGAATTGGTTCTCTCATCCTCTCTGGCTGAGTGCAGAGGAAAAAATGTCCGTTTATTCTCTCTGTATTCAGTGAGAGTGAATGGCGATCAGCCCAGGGGGGCCGCCCTCTGAGTGTGCTTCAGAAAAACACCCCAGGTCTCGGCTCCGGTAGAAGGCCGGGGAAAGAAGACACCGCGGAGCTGCTTCTGATTGGATCTCTTGGGGCTTTTGAGCCATAAAACATTTTTATCCACATCTTAACTGCCTCCTTTGTTGTACAGTAAAGGTTAATTTTGACTTTGTGAAGGGTATTTTATGCGCCTCGTACGACCAATTATGCCCTATTCTCACATGTCGTAAATATTGACCTGTCCCATGCTCTGCTGCGTTCCCCCACTGTGCAGCGATGCTTGATTAAGTTTCTAAATACAACACAGAGAAGTCATATCATCAAACATGCTAAATTAATGAGATTCTTAAGCTTATTACTTATACTTTGCTTCATGAGATGCACAAATGAGGCCACAGATTGAGCAGAGATAAACAGCCCCTGCAGAGTTGTTAATTCTGCCACAGACAATGAGAGTTTGATCAATATAAGGCTGTTGGTAAGAAAGCTTGTGTAGCTCAGTAGTTTTAACACATGTGCGGCCATTCAGAGACATGTTCTTGTCAAAATGTCAGCTTTGTTGGATAAACAACTCTAAGTTGTTGTAGTGTGTCAGCTATTGTTAAGTAAAGCCCTGAAGTGAAGATTTTAAAACGGTTAAATGAAGATAAACCAGTTTGAAATGTATAGAAACACAATGACAGAGCAACAGAGAAAGACTGGTGATCTTAGCATCTTTTATAAAGATAGGAGAAGTGGTGTTGTGATGCCAGAAGATGATTTTTTGCCAAAGGATAAATGCCTTACTCTTGCATATTTAGTTCACCCAATATTATATGCCAGTATTGCAACTTCTGCTGACTTGAGGGAGTGAGGATCATTATGAAATTAACATTAGCCACAGAAGAGGAACAGATTTAGCCCACAGATGGGTGACACAACTACATAAAATTATGCAGTTCTTTATTTTATTACTCCATCATGAGAATTGGACAACTATGTCTCTGCCTTAGCCATCCTAGGAAAAAATATAAGTAAGAAATCAGCAAGGATTTAGAAGACCCAGAGCTGACTGAAAAATCCCTGCATGCACTCTGCACTACACCACTGGATATGAGACAGAACAAAATCCCCCCAAAGTCAAGATGCTGGGGTTAGTAGAGTCAAGACACCAGGTGGAAAAAACTTTATATACATTATGTGTCTGTCTCTGCTAGTTTTTGGGGCAAAAGGAACTATCTGCAAACCCAACACTGACATAATATTAGCACATTTTACAGTTAACATGGTGAACATGTTCAGATGATTATCATAAACATTCAAACCTAATTTAATATTAAAGGTCCAGTGTGTAACATTGAGGAGGCTCTATAGATGTAGATGGGGCCACCGTAGTTTTTCCTACCCCTTCACAGCCCGTTCTCATTCCCAGGTCGTCAAATACAGATGCCAGCAGTGTTCAGGCAGTTGTAATCAGAAACTTCATCGTTACAGATGCCAGTAAATCTTACACACTGGTCCTTAAAAAAAAATGGGTGTCATTTGGTGCACTGCTCCTAAATAAAGTTGCAAAACAGCAAACTTCCACTGAAAGCAAAGCTAGATGATTGTGTGCTTCCAGGTCTCGTTAATATTACTGTGAGATGGAAAAGCTAATAATCTGTAAAACTATAATGGACACAGAGCTGAGCTTGTTCTCCTCAGTGTTTTCAGTTTGCGACACCGCCTCTCTGTTCTGTTTATTAAGTGGCCAAGCATCATAAAGACTGCGGTGACACGTTGCTCTGCAACTCAACAAGTGGGACCCAAAACACACGTAAGCACTCTTTGGAAGATTTACACTTGCCACCACCCTCAGATCTAAATGCCTTGATGTCGCTGGAAGACTCCCATTTCATTTCATTAATTTCGTCACAGACATTTTTGATGCTCTCTTTAAGGTCACCCTGGAGAGACCGAGTGTGGTGTGGTATCCAGCCAAGCAAAAGTTCACGGCATCTGTGACTGATCCTCTTTTTACGTCACGCAGGAGAAAGGAGAAGGTTTGGGAGAGAGAGAAAGAAAGGCTTCTAGTGATGCTTTAAAAAAAAAATGGATAAAGAGAGAGATTTTCAGAGTGGTCATCTGAGGACGAGGTTGGCTTCTTTTTGCTGGAGTTGTGGAACAAGGTGATTAGAGCAGCAGACTGCATGGAGAGCTGTGGCCACTGAGTCTCAACTACTGTGATGATTAAAGTGCTTGGAAAGAGTTGCAGAGAGAGGGAAAAGGAAAGAAAAGGGGAGTGTAGGAGTGCATGTGTGTGGATGGACGACTGCTTTCCCCAGCCTCAGGACTAAATCCTTTTTCCTCCTGATACTAGACTTGATTGAAAGATGCTTTATCGTTTAAATGGTTGCACTGCGTTTGTCAATAACAATCTCCTTTTTTTTACGAGAGAAATAGATCACAAAGCGGCATATTTTTATTTCTATCCCGGTGGGTTTGTTTGTGTTTGCTGTACAGTTGTCTTGATATACGTCCCTTTGGGTGCACAAGAGGTGTGTGTTGATCGAATCACGCTGAGGGTGATTCAGATTTATGTGAGAAAGTGGATCTGACACTATCATAGTCGGGATGTCAGCATTTATTTATTGAGTCTTATGATCTTAATGTCTCCCAGAGCTGTTTTAGAGGAACACACACTTCCTCTATTTCTGAAATTCAGACAAGGAGTTTTCACACGTCCCAAAACGCCTTCAACAAATAAAGGAATTGAGCTATTGACGATACAGTTCCTCATTTCAGTTAGTGGATAAACAGGCTATATTCCCAAGACATTTTTATATGTACTGACAACTTGGAGATTTTACCTGCAATCAGTTTGTATGTTCACAGGTTTTCAAATATCTGGAAAACCCGGTTGATGGGAAAAAAACTACTGATAGTGCAACATGAAGAAGTTAATATTAAGGCATTATGTAAATCCTTTTATCATTATTATTGGTTTTAGGAATAATCAGTGTCTAATTGTTGGAAGTTTGTATAATTTGGGGTTGTTGGGAATGCAAACAGGAAGTATAACGTTGCCATGGAGTCAGTTAGTTCCACTTGGGGCCTGTTTTTATTTTGTTTACATTTTGGCACCATTAAAAGTATGTCGAATTAGCTATTAGCACTTTATGTGTGTAATGTACCCATGAATGTAAAGACAACTATCACTGGATTACTTTGATACTGAAAAAAACTTAAAAATGTGACAATTCTTAGGCAAGTTCTGGAGTCAAGGTATAAGGAGCCTCTTTATTAATCTGATTTCTAAGAGTGTTTATAGACTTTTATAATTACATTCATGCTATACCCCTCTCTTTCTCTATGTCCTTTTTATAATGAATTAAGCATACCATTTTCTTTAAACAGCTGACTTCATTATGTGTTAATAAACATGTTTAAAAAGAAAAACAGTCAAGACTCAAGTGCTGTTCCCAAGTTAAATTATTTATTGAGCCATCACTGACACTTTACTGGGTCTGGCAGCAGCTGTATCATTTTGTTTCAGAAACAAATCCCATCACCACTGCTGGACCCTCTTCGTTGGCAGTAAGGATGATGGGACGGGAAGACTTTTGGTGGCCAGTGAAGATAATCAAGTAATGACTAATTAGTGACAGCGCTATGGAAGTAATCACTATTTATTGATCTGTGTTCATTTGGGAGACAGCATAGTGTGCTGTGAGAATATTTGTGCTCTCAGCTTTTGGACTTGAATGGATTTTTATTAACTTTTAACCACTAAAAAGTTTGAAAACCCATTTAGCACAAAAAATATACTTGAAATGTTTAGTATGCATGTACAGCAGCCAAGCAAATTATAAATGTGGTCCTTTATGCAAGAGTCTCCTCTCCATATTAAGCTTTTCCATGACTTGTGGTGAAGCTCCTGAATTCCCACAGCGAGTGTCTTAATTGGAACAAGCTTGTGGTCCAACTTATCCTTCCTGTG